GAAAATGTCCCTGAGAGAGGGTGAGTGATGCTGGTCAGGTAAAAGCTACCTCATGAGAGGGACATGTTTTTGTGAGGGGCAGAACATCCTCATGTGGACTTGGAGAAGGGTTAAATAGAAGCCCACAGACCATGAGGGGACTCCTTCTGCAAACGCTTTTGTATTACCACACTTTGCAAGGTTCCATCCTTCAGGGGTCTTCACAGAGAGAAATGCTCCAGAGAACAGCTTGTGCTGCTCTGGCAGTTTTTCTGCTTCAGCCAACTTTTGCCATTTGCGTGGTGTCTAGCTGTTTCTATTGAATCGATCCGAGCTGCTGACTGTTTGACTAGACTGCTGGTATCCTGACGACTGAGTTTGGTAATCCCCAAACGACCCATCGACCCTAATCAGTGGGAAGTAGATGAAAGAGGTCTACAGCCCTTTCCCTACTAATCTCCTACCTAAGGTTGGGGGTTTGGAAGGGAGGAAAAGGCATTTAAGAACCTTAAGTAAAGCAGGTGTTTGAAAAATCTAAGCCTCCAGTAAGCACCCATGACGAGGCCAAGAGGTCCTTGTGCACACAGATAAGCACTGGAGAAGCCAGGAGAAGCACAGGCTTATCTAGTCAAAGGAAGGAAGTTCTTTGTGAATTGTGGAAAGAATGTAGTTTACAAACTGGTGATATTTGCTATCTGTACAGCCAGACTGCACCTGTATCCCAGACCCTTTCCCCTAAATCTTGAGCATTGCTTCCAAGTCCATTAATCCCATCCTTATGAGATATGTCACTTGTACCTACTGCAGCCTAAGTGATTTCTGTGTTCTTAGGGCCAGGCCAATCCTGACTCCCACAAGCACTGTTTACCTCAGTCATTCTCCCCACACCTTACATCTTGAGCACTGTTTCTGAGTCAACAGTGCCCTTCTTTATGAAAGAAGCCAGATGTACTTTATAAAGAATTTCAATGTAGGGTGGGAGAGATGGCTCAGAGATTTAGAGCCCTGGCTGTTCTTCCAAAGGTCCTGACTTTAATTCCCAGCAACCACATGATGGCTCATGGCTATCTATAATGACATCTGGTGCCCTCTTCTGGCATCCATGCAGACTGAACACTATGTGTAATAAATAAATAAAAATCTTAAAAAAAAAAAAAAAAAAAAAAAGCCTGGTGGTGGTGTGTGCCTTTAATCCCAGTACTCAGGAGGCAGAGGCAGGCAAATCTCTGAGTTCCAGGCCAGTGTGGTCTAAAAAGTGAGTTCCAGACAGCCAGGGCTACACAGAGAAACCCTGCCTCTGGAAAAAAAAAATTCAATGTAAACATGTCTTACACTTTGTTATACTAACAAGGACTGAGTTAATTGTCATCAGAAAACTTTTTCCCCAAAATTGTGCTGTACTTAATAAGGCTAAAATAAATGATCTTGGGTCAGATTCTAGAAGTTTGCCCCAGCACTGGCTAACATAATCAGCTGAACCTCACCTAGATCTTTTTCCTGCCAATCATAGAGCCCACAGGAACCCGCACCCCACCCACCTTACCCACTGAGCATCTCATTGAGGCCTCATAGATTTGTTTTTAGAATTGGCTAATTGCACTCGGGAAGAAAAAGGAAGCTCCTTTGCTGTGGGAGGCATACTGTGACCACAGCCATCTTAATTGATAGGTTGTTGTTTATTACTTAGCTCCTGTAATCGACCTGAGGAGAAACTGCACAAAGGTACCAGTCACTTAGAAACATATATGTCTGGCCTTGTGTGGTGGTGCACATCTTTAATCCCAGCACTTGGGAAGCAGGAGGATTTCTGAGTTCAAGACCAGCTGCTCTACACAACGAGTTCCAGGACAGCCAGAGCTGCAAAGTAAGGCTCTGCCTCAATCAAACAAACAAAAATGTAGCTGCCAGTTGAGTAGTAAAAAGAACAAAGATTTAAACCTGAGTTAGCCAAAGCCACAAGGCACTGCTGGCTCTAACATGGCACATTTTAAAGGGAAACTGCCATTCCTCTCCCTGCAGTGACTTCTCCCTGTGTGAAGTATCCATCCCTGCTCCTAGTCCACAGATCTGGAGAGGTAATAAACCCAGAATTAGTGTGAAATGCTCATATAAAATATCAAGATGTCTGTGGTGCTCAGACCCTTTCACACGGTTTTTATGTGCCCACCTCCTAGTCACCTCATATTCCCCAAGGCTCACACGTCAGCCCAATCAACTCCCATGCTCTCTCTTGTTCATTTTCCAAACTCCGGGAATCTGCCCAGACAGACCCAGCCTCAGTCGTTCACGGCATTACAGCTCCATCAGGCATATGTCCCTTCTCTAAATTCCCTGCCAGGGTCTATGTAACTTAGGATTCACTGATTTCTAACTTGCTGTCACTAGTTGGGCGTGTGGTGTAAGTCTTCATTTCTTTGTCCTTCTTACGGAGGATTCCAACAGGGACTCCACCAAAGCACTAGGTTAGTCAGGACTCCAGTGTGCATAGCTACTCTGAGACCATTCCATGAGGTGCACAAACTCTGACCTCACAAGCAGCATCTTCCCAGAATATATGTATATCCTCATCACCTGGAGTGTGTGCCAAAACCGCACATGTCCCAGGCTGAGCTATATCATCTGCTGCGAGGGGTGAAGCTGAGAGACCTGAACAACCGCACTCAACTTCCACCCATCCGGGACTGAAAAACTGAAAAACTGATACTCCACTCCGGGGCTACCCAGGCCATAGCGATGCTTGTATGGGAAAGGCATCAGACTTTGGGTCTAAATACTTTTCATTTTCTTCTGTTTTGAGACAGGGTGTCACCATGTAACTCTGACTGCCTTGGAACTCACCATGTAGAGTGGACTGGCCTTGAACTCATGGTGTTCTGCCTGCTTCTGCCCCTACTGCTGGGCCCGTATCACCACACCCAGCTCAAATACCTTCTATAACAATGGCCCTGCCATTTAATAGACTGTGTCCCTGGAAAAGTTTTCTTCTCCTTAAAACAAAAATAAGACCACACAAGGTACATACTTCAGGCCTGGGGTGGCACCACAGTCCTGGAAGCCAGAACTCAGGAATCGGAGGGAGGAGGGTCTCCAGTGCTAAGCCAGGCTGAGCTACATGGTAAGAGCCCATCTAGGAAAAGCAAACAAATAAAAGATGCACAGAGTATACTTTCCTAAATGGGACCGAGCATCCAGAGTGGGGATCGATGAGACTGGATCAATTGAGGCATCTCTTTCCACTGTGGTCTGACTGCAATTTAACGCTTCAGCATGGGTGTAGGCAGTAGTGCCTGCAATCAAGTCAGCAACTGAAATTATAACAACTTTCTCTCATAGTATACCCATTTCAGAGAAGCCTAAACGAACTCTTAAAAAAATATTTATTTTCATGAATTGGATGTTTTGCCTGCCTGTATGACTGGGTAACATGTACATTCAGCACCCACAAAGGAAGGTGGCATATCCTCCAGGGCTGAAGTTACAGATGGCTGTGAGCCACCATGTGGGTGCTGGGAATTGAACTCAGGTCCTTTGGAAGAACAGTCCTTGCTCTTAACCACTGAGCCACCTCTCCAGCCCCTCTAAATGCATTCTAAGCTCATCACTATTTTGATGAGGAGATGGTAAGGTAGTCACAGGACCTGCTGTTTTACTGCCTTAACAAATCATTATGCATACAACTTTAGGAGCATTTTGCTTATTGTTAATTTTTTGCCTGCATGTATGACTGAGTGAGGGTGTCCTATCTGGAACTGCAGTTACGGACAGTTGTGAGCTGCCATGTGGGTGCTGGGGATTGAACCTGGGTTTTCCGGAAGAGCAGTCTGTGCTCTTAACTGTTGAGCCATCTCTCCAGCCCCTGATTATTATATTTTAATATTTTTTCTCTTCACAAATGTTTGTGTATTTCAAGTACATAAAGAGGACTGGAAAAATGGCTCAGCCGCCAAGAGTACTAGCTGCTCTTCCAGAGGTCCCAGGTTCAATTCCCAGCACCCACATGGTGCACAACTGGCTATAACTCCAGTTCTTGAGAGACAGTCTGTCTCTAGAGACATTCCTTTCTGTGTTGAGCCACAGGCTGAGGCAGGTCATCTGCAATCTCACAGGAATCCTGTTTACCACCGAGGCACTCTACCAGTCCTCACCTGTATACTGAACTGGGTCCAGCCTGAGCTACACAAGACTTTGCCAAAGAAACAAAAACAAAAGACAAAAACAAAACAAAACAAAACAAAAAAAAAACAAGACCTAACACCAAACAACTTTTAATAATAATAAGAAAAATTAAAATGCACAGGATACACACATAGGAAAACACGTAACAAACACAGTAAAAGGTGGTGATAGAAGCTAGGCGCAGACAGTCACTCTGCCCTCAGCCTGTGTGGGCTACTGGACCCTGGAAACCAAGAAACCAACCGAAAAAGGTCTAGCTTAAAATCCTGTAGTGACTCTGGGAAACATTCAAAGTCAAAGTTCAGCTTCCGAGTCTGAACTGCATCCCTGATCATGGTTAGACTTGGAGTGTGTGTCCTATAAACCATTCACATCTGACCAAGATCGGTGTCTGAGTGGTTTGTGTGGCTTCCTCCAGACCCCAATAAGTTTAAGACCAGTCTACACACACACACACACACACACACACACACAGACACATTTACATACACACAAAGATGCACACACACATATACTCACTTAAAAATAAAATATATGTTTAAAAGAATAGGAACATGGCAGTGCCCCCCCTCTAATCCCAGCACTCAGTTGGCAGAGCAGGCAGATCTCTGTGAGCACAAGGCCAGCCTGGTCTACATAGTGAGTTCCAGGACAGCCAGGGATATGTACAAACAAGGGCTATGTCTCAAAAAACTTTTTTAAAATGTAACTGATAAGAAAAAAATAAAATTCAAAAAAAAACTTTTTTAAAGAATATAATTAATATTTTAATAGGAATAAAATTTGGCCTATCAGTCATCAAAATGCATGGCAACGTGTGGAAAGTACATACACATTAAAGGCACTGCTGTAAAAGTAAATTTATTTAATAGCAAATGTTGCAAGTTTCCCTTTTGTACAATTCACAGACACTGTGGGGATAATGCGAGGTTGTGAACAACACTCATCCTAACGAGGGGGAGGGGCAGACAGGGGGGTGCCCAGGCTTCAGGACTGGCTCATGCTCAATCCCAGTAGAAGTGGTGAGGAAGAAGGTGCTAATCTTCTGTGAGCAGACTGTCAGCCTTCAGCTGGGTCCTCCTTGTGCTCTCCAAGTTCAGCTGTTGATATTTTCTTTTGAAAAAGCCACACTGAAATGAAGAGGGGAGGCTTCGTGACAGACCTGCGGTAGCCGCGCGTGCTTTAGGTCTCTGGGTGCCACTAAACGGCTCCAGATTCCTCAGGCTCCTCCTGCCTCCCCCCCTCCTGCCTTCTCTGAGCTTTCCCCGCCCACCCAGTCCCTTCTTCTGGGCTGCCTTCCTGATGTTCATCCCTCAAAAAGAACTGACTTCCCAAGGCCCTCTGAACTGCCAGAGCACTTAAACACCTTTAACTTAACCAACTGAGAGTGCTAGGATTCAGTCGAGCTGGAGCTAATCCTCTTTCTGGGAAAGTGCCCAGACAGCCTGCCACATGGAAGACGTAAAGATTGCACACAACCTCCTATATCTGGAAGCTCAGAATCTAGGAATAGGGAAATGACACTGAGGTGTGATGTCTGCCATCTGTAAGGCTTTCAGAAGGGAGCTCTCAGGCCTGGCACAGGAGCCAGCACAGAGCATCCAGGAGCATGGTTAAGCTTTCCCAGAAGTGTGTGTGAAAGGTGAGAGGGTGGAAACTGGCAAGAACAGTCCAGTGCACCCGAACAGAAGGTCATGAACTTACTTAGGGAATGGTTCAACTGGTCTGGAGAAAAAAACCAAAATTATGGGTGGGAGGGACAGAGGCTTAGATGTCGATGGCCCCAAATAGCACTAAGAGAGTCTGGACTCTGAGATAGGGGGAAACAAAGGACTTTTAGGAACCTCTCTCTGTGCTAACACGCTTCATTTGGGCTTTTTTCCCCCAGGAAGAAACTGCCAGGTTCGTTTGTCTAAACAAGATACACAGCTTCAACAAGAAGAAAAAGAGGCCCCAAGGCCAGGGTAAGCACACTAGGTCTGAGGTTAGCTGTCCCCAAAGGCACTGAAGCCAATACTAGAGCCCGATGCCTTCTTTTTACAAACCTGATAAGTAGAACTGACCTTGAACAAAAGGGCTATAATCACACCCAAGACCAGAAGGCCTCCAATACTGCTGCCAATGATGAGAGGCAAAGAATGGGACTCCTCATCTCTCAGGAAGATGACAGTGATCTGGATAGAGATGGTACAATAAGTCAGGAAATGACAACCAGGAAGAGTCTACAAGTTATTTTAGGGAACAAAAGATAAGGACGAAAACCTGCATATTGATCCAGACTGATGACATATAGCAAAAAGCTGACCATCTCCTGACACAGCACTTTACCGCCCCTAAAATCATCTAATGACCACAGTACTTTGTAAGAAAACTATTCTCATCTCTGATGCAAACGAGCTAGGTCATCAGGGGATGTGACCTTGTCTCAAAGGTGGTCTTCCAGTCTGAGAATGCCACAGAGATTCTACAGCAGCAGTGCCCCCAGCCTCCGTGTCCTTGATCTCCCTATGGTCACTGGCCCTGAAGTGATGACTTGTTTAAATGATCGCTGAGTCCTTTTCAACCCAAGTCTGACAGATGTTTTTGAATCATGCACAAATGTCTAGAGTCTTTGGCAATACACTTTCTTAGAAGGAATGTCTGGTAGGGTTGCCCTGCTCTTCAGCAGGCTGAGTGCAGTCTCAGGGACACTGGGAAGTGCAAAAGTGGATCCACCACGGCACTGAAGGGCCCCTCTGTTAGAAATCACCCCCGGTCATTTCCTAAGGCGCTCATCAGCTCAGGAGTCTTCTCTCACCCTGACACCAGGAAAAGCTCTACAATGTCCTGACAGGGCCTGTCCTTCCTGGGTAGAGGCCAGAGCACGTTGCCAGGACACGGAGCCAGAGGGTCATCATGACTCCCTGTTATAGGACACAAGTTCCCTTCAGGCCAGTGCATAGGCACCAAGGTCAGGCATGCTTTGGAGAAATTTCCATAACAGGTAACCCAACTCACCCCTGAGGCCTCTTCTGACTTAAGTTAAAAACGTGACTGGCTCAGGCTCAGAACCACCCTTAACTTCCAGGTAAGCTCACCTTCACAGGACTAAGTTCTGATCTTGAGAGAACGACAGAACAGAGGGCAGCAGGACAGAGCTGTGATCTGAACAGAGGAATGACAGGTAAGAGGAGGAGAGCGGTCCCAAGACGCCAGGGCAGCACGGCAGACTGGAGAGGAAACAGCACCCTCTTTCTCAAAGCCTCCTTCCTTTGTCCTCTGCGAAACGCACGGGTTCTCCCCAAAGTAGCCAAAGGCACCCCAGCAGAGTGTAAGGGAGAAGCAGAACACCACAGACTGTGGGCAGTCCAGTGGCCGTCCTGTTAGCTGCCATTCTGAAGTCACAGTGGGTCAAGGCCAGTCAGGACAGAGCTGCCTCCTTTGCTGGTGACTGAGATTGCTGCTGAACTAAAAGCATGTAGAGGATCTTCGTGGCACTTTCAGGAAGCCTCTTATCACTGAAAATGGAGGGCACACGAAGAAAATGCTTCCTGCTAACTTGTTCCCTGCCTTGTATTCTGTCATATGGCAATGTTAGCTGGACATCTCTAACCCAAAACTCCAAAATTCATCATGCTCCGAAATCCAAATCATATTTAAAATCTAGTGTAATATGTATGGGTGTGCACCTATATGTATATCTGTGCAACATTTGTGAGCCTGGTCCCTACAGAGACCACAAGAGAGCATCAGATCACATAGGTGCTGCACCCTCTGGAAGAGCAGCCACTGAGTCATTTCTCCAGGCCCCCAAATCCAAAACTTTTTGACTATTCTGTTGGTACTCAAAATACTTTGGAGTTTGGAATAAGTCATCCTTTGGATTTTCAGATTACAGAAGCTTAGCTAGTCTACAAAATTTGAAAAACTCTGAAGTGAAGTCTGATGGATACTCAGCATTTAGATCATTCAAAGATTTGACAACTCTGTGCTGGCCACAAGGCAAGGTGTGAACATCAAACAAGGATCAAAGCAGGCAGGCTGCTCGGTGTGGGCCTGCCTCCCTCTCTAGATAAACAGCCGTGCCTGTATGGTGCATATTTGAAGATGCCCCTATTTGTCCATCAAAAGCAATTGGATACACAGCTATTTAGAACCACAGACTGTACATCCTCTACCACAAGAGCCACTTCACACAGAACACTAAGTTCAAAGAAAAGGGTTTTAGAGGTTCTACACTATAGATAAGAGCATAGATTAGTAGCACGCATATAAGAAATGGTTAACAGCAACTACCTTTGGGTGTGGGAAAGGGAAGCATGAAGGAACCATCATTTTCAGTTGGTACATTTCTGTTAGAGTTGGATTTCAATGATATTAATAATTTATTTATTTAGTTAAGTTTTTTATAGGGGTGGGGAAGTCTTTGGTTTTCTCAAGACAGGGTTTCTCTGTGTAGCCTTGGCTGTCCTGGACTCACGTTGTAGATGAGGCTGGCCTTGAACCTACAGAGATCTACCTGCCTCTGCTTCCTCGAGTGCTGGCATTACAGCCACCATGTCCAGATGGGATTTTTGTTTGTATTTGGTTTTTTTGAGACAGGGTTTCTCTGTGTAGCCCTGGCTGTCCTGAAACTTACTCTGTAGTTTCTGGCCTCGAGCTAAAGATCTGCTTGTCTCTGTCTCCTGAATGCTGGGATTGAGGATGTGCACCACCACCCTGGATTGATGATGTTACTTTATGAAAATAGGCTCCTACTTCTTTTAGAATCTAGGCAGAATGATTAAGAATAAGGAGCTTATGTTTCTTTAACCTCACTTTGTGTGTCAGCAATACCTGAGAAGCCATCGAGGTGGCTCAGCAGGTGAGGTGTCTGCAGTCACACTGTCGCTCCTGCCCTCTCACCCATGTGCAGCATGGCATGCTCACACACACACACACACACAGAGTAAATGCATGAAGCAAGCTGGGTGTGTTGAGGTCAGGCTGCACCCTGCTCTAAGTTACTCAGCACTGTGTGAACCCGTTTTCCAGCTGTGCCTGGCCTCAAGAGAAACTCCATTGCATAAGCAGTGTTTGACTCCACCTTGAAGATGAAGGACAACTAAACACCTGGGTAGACATGTGAACGGCCTCATAAATGACTCACTTATTCCTAGAAAGAGTGACATAAATTTATTGCGGTAAACTGAGCCTGTAGGGGCACATGGCATAGTAAAACGATATGAGGGAAACCAGGTCCAGGAACTCATCAGACACACTGATCCAGGGAAGGGGTGTACCTCCCCACGTAGGTCCCATAAAGAGGTAAGCATCAAACACTGAGATGTCCACAGGCCCCACTGGCCTCTTACCTGGCCACTTGGTGGTATGTGCAATCAAAGACCAACCTGCTGAGAACTCTCAGCTGTCCCCTAAGGTTCCACTGGGCTAGCCCATGGCTGTTGATGAGAGCTGCCTGAATGGCCTTTCCCTTCCTCCTGATCACTCATCTGGACACACTGTGCCTCCCTCTTCTAGTTCCTCCTGGATCCAGTCTCTGCCCTCTTGCCTTGGTGGTGGGGCTCAACTCTATAGCTTTGTTCTCAAGCTGGTGACCCAACATGCCTCTACTCACAGCCACCCGGACTCGCTTAGCTTCTCTGCACCTGTTATCTCATCAACGCAGGTTCTGTTCATATTTCTGTCAGCTTCCCTGCTTCTCAGGACTTCCCAAACCTCTTGAACTGGTTGTGGTCTCAGTAACCCACTCATACACGAGCAATAAAAAACCCATTTCAGGGCCCTGAGGTGGCCCTTGCTGCCACCTGACAACTCCTGGTGCCTAGATCCCACTCGGCAGAAGGAGAGAACAGACTCCTGCAAGGTCTGACCTACAAACAAAATAAATACATGCAAGAAAAAGAGAGGGGTGGGGGGAGGGGAGAAAGGAAAGGAAAGAAGCAGCGTGTGCTTGTATTGGCCAGGATCATCAAAGAAGACAGCATATTGTTGCTACTAAATCAGCACATCTTGTGAGTTTACTGTTATTTAATACATTCTGACACTGCAGAAAGACACCGTCTATGTGTATGACGGTATAACCATGGCAATGTGGTAGTGCACACCTGAAATCCCAGCACCAGGAAGTTACAACAGGGGGACCCAGAGTTCCAGGCCAGTCTGTGCTGAACTCAGGAACCCTGTCCCAAAATAAATACAAATGTAAACAAGTCTTCAGTATAGAAGAAAATGATATTTCTCCAGAGAGAGCAATTGAGTCTTTATACTTGGCAGCCCTGGCTCCCATCACCTCCTGTATTGAGGAATCCTGTCTAACAAGACAGCTCACAAGCTGACCCTCTCTGAAAGTGGCTCATATCCAGACAGGCAAATGTCAATAAGAATGACAGTGCAGAGCCAGGCATGGTGGCGCACACCTTAAAACCCAGCATTTGGGAGACAGAGGCAGGCAGATCTCTGTGAGCTGAGGTCAGTCTGGTCTACAATACTGAGTTCCAGGGTAGCCAGGGCTATGTGGAGAGACCCTATCTCAATCAAAACAAAACAAAAGAACAACAGAAGAAGAAGAAGGGAGGGAGGGAGGGAAGGAAGGAAGGAAGGAAGGAAGGAAGGAAGGAAGGAAGGAAGGAAGGAAGGAAGGAGAGAAAGAGAAAGAAAGAAAGAAAGAAAGAAAGAAAGAAAGAAAGAAAGAAAGAAAGAAAGAAAGAAAGATTAATTCAGGAAGGGCTGAAGAGATGGCTTAGTGGCTAAGAGAACTTTGGGATCTTGTAGAAGACCTGGGTTCAGTTCCCAGAACACACATAGAAGCTCACAACTGTAACTCCAGGTCTAGGATATTCGATGGCCTTTTTTTTTTTTTTTTTTTTAAGATTTACTTATTTATTTTATGTGAATGAGTGTTTTGTCTGTGAACCGCGGGGTACATGCCTGGTACCTACTGAGGTCAGAAGACAGCACTGGATCCCCTAGAACTGGAATTATAGATGTGAGCCACCAGGTAGGTGCTGGGAACTGAACCTCAATCTTCAGCAAGAGCAGCCTACACTCTTAACCAGTGAGCCATCTCTCCAGCCGTCAACACCCTTTGCTGTCTTCCATGGGCAACAGGCACACAGGTGGTGCCAGACATAGATGCACCCATACATATAAAATAAAATTTAAGAAGGAAAAGAAAAAGAATAAAGACGCAAGGCAACATGCACAAGAACATTTAGCCCAACCACAGACATCCGCTTGGTTTTGTTCACATTTTAGAAAAATGAATTCCAACACTTCTAATGCTTGGTCTAGCTCCTATAAAAGAATTAGGCACTGAGCACGCTCCTGCGTGGCACCATTACAGGCATTAATGTTGCATACTAGGAAGATATTTTATGTACTCAAAAATAACTTCACACATAGGAAGTGTTTTAACTACTTCCTAAATTATGTCAAAGATCAATAAATTTTTAAACTAAGAACTCACCATTGTTGATTCCTATTTCACAAAAAAAAAACAAAAAAACAAAAAACTGAAGCAGAAGCCCAAGGCGGGTTGGTGGCACAGTCTGGGTCAGAGGTGACAACAGTTCCCCCAGAACCCTAATCAGAAAACACCAGGACTTACCTTTGTCCTGTGGTTCTCGGCATTTAGGCCCTCATACAGAGATTTGTTGAAAGATATTTCACCAAGGACCTGCAGTTCAGTTACATCTCTCAGTAACTATAAGACAAGGAAAGGTGGGGTATGGGAACACAGAACATACTTTAGATATGAGGTCATTGTTTCTGGAAGTAAGCAACAAATCTTAGCCATTCCCCAACTTCTCTTTCCTTAGACTTGACCTATGCCACAACCCCCATTCAAAATCAGTTCTGGATAATTCTTCTAAAACTCTGTCATGCACATGTTTCCTTGTCATGCACATGTTTCCTGTATTCCCACTTCTACTTCTATTTCTTTCTTTCTTTGTTTCTTTTGGGTTGTGTTTTTTTTTTTTTTTCTTTTGAGATAGGGCTTCTCTATGTGGCCTTGGCTGTCCTGGAACTTGCTTTGTAGACCAGGCTGGCCTCAGAAATCTGCCTGCTTCTGCTTCCCACGTGCTAGGATTAAAGGTGTGCCACCACTGCCCAGCTCCCTCTTCTATTTCAGTTGAGACCATGTTGGTCTCACTCTATAATAAGGCTTATTCCCAGTCTATAATAAGACCTCTCCAGGAAAATTAAACTTGAGCAATGTTATGCAAATTAACTAGAAGTACAAAGGCCCAGTGGCCACAATAACAGTGGAAAGCTAAAAAAAAAAAAAAAAAAAAAAAAGCCATGACAGAATAGCTGGGTATAAGGAAAAGACAATCAAGAAAGGGCAGGAAGCATTGGATGAAGAATTAAGTGGAGACCAGCCCATGTAGTTTTTTGCATGCCATGAAAGAAGTATGGATTTTAATCTAAATATATTCAACTCTCAAAGTCCATTACTTCTGTTTGTTTGGAGTTTCTGATTTTTATTTTTAAAGAAAGATAGCACAGGTTAATGGTAAATGAAGAATTATTTAGTTTTTAAAAAAATCATGTGCATGTATGCATGAGTACAGGTATCCATGGAGACCAGGAGAGGGCATCAGATCCACCTACAGCTGGAGTACAGATTGTTGTGAGCTGTCCAATTTGGGTGCTAGGAACCGAACCACATCCTCTGTAAGAACAGTACATGCTCTGAATCGCTGATCCATCCCCCACCACTTGAAGAATTATATGTACAGATTAGGGGGAAAGATAAGACAAAGAAAGCATGTCCAAGGTTATGCAACAGGCCAGAGATGGTGACCTGAATTACATGTCAGTAACTACGCCTCAGGAGAGACATAGAGAAGTGATTTCTGAAAGTTGGGTGGCAGGGTTTGTTGCTAGGTACACATGGGAATATAGCAAAAAGGAGTCATGAGTAATGCCTACATGTCTCAGTATGAAACAGGATTAAGACACCTACTAAGTAACTTGCTAAGAGTAGGCTGGAACAGCGGTCAGTCAGGTGATCTATTTGGACGGCATCTTTCAGATGCTATTTTCCTTTCCAGAGGAGAGGCCCTACAGCTGGAAGACCCAATCTGCAGCATTTCAGTACCTGCTTTGTGTGGTCCAGGGAGATCTCTGCAGCCACCGTTACATTTTCTTTATTAGATGTGATAGCACAGATCACTGAATGCCATTTTTCCACACTCTGCAAAAGCAAAAAGTAAGCCTGCTTACTCTCTTCTAGTGCATTAGGGCTGAAAATCTGAATATCTAGGATAGAGCATCCAAGGTCCCAGAGAAGACAGTTGTGAGCAGTTTGAACAATTTCCCTTCGCCCAAGCAAAGTGTCACTCTGGCAAACAGAACCAGTGAGGCTGAGAGTCTCAGAACCTGTGACCTGACTTCTGCAGTCACGTCCCTCACTCAGGCTCCTGAGGCGACTCCACTCACCTGAACAGGATCGCTTCCACATGCCGGCTCTTGACTCTGTGTGCACTCAGTGTGGTCCTGAAACGAGAGCCTTTCCTGAGCCGCCTTGAGGCGCCAAGCATCCACTCCTGGCGGCTTCCGGGAGGGCGGGCACTAGGACCCAGGGGCTGGCGGGCGCCCCCGCGGAAGTCTCGCGGCATTTCCGTTTGAAATGACTGGCGGGCGCCCGCCATGGCCGCGTCTCTCCCGAAGCCTGGGACCCGGCTCTTCCGAACGTACGCGGCGAGGGGAGTCCGGAGGGCGCATTGCCAGCCGGGAGGGCTGGCCGTGCAGTGGTTCCAGCCGCCGGACCCGAAGCGCGCCTTCAGCAGCAGCGGCAGTGACCTGTCGCAGCCCGCCGCTTCCGACAGCTCTGACGGCGCTGAAGACCCCGCAGACCCCGACTTCCCCGGTAGCCCCGTGGGCCCGCGGCGCAGGCGTCCTCGAGGCCGCGGCCGCCGGGACCAGTGGACGCTGACAGCCACCCAGAGGCTCCGGAGCCTGCGGCCTCGGCACCCCCAGAAGTGCAGCACCCCGCGCGGCCGGCTGCGACCGCCGCCCTTCTCCAGCTGCAACCCGGGCTGCCCCAGCGTGGACCTCAGCGTGCGCTGCCAGTCCAGGGACAGCAACGAGCTGGGTACCAGTGCCTCCTTGTTCAGCCCTCCGGCCTCTTCCGGAGCCCCTGCCTCTCCGGATGCAGACTCTGCGGTCCCCAGCGGCTTCCATTTCTCCGCAGCCTCCCCGGATGAAGCATCTCTGCCCGGCCCCCGGGAAGCAGCCACGATGGCCAGCCAAGCCGGAGACGACTTCAGGTTAGCTCCCTTTAGCCTTGTGGACTCAGAGACCACAGAAGATAAAGAGTTTGTGAAGGAATCGTGTCGTGAAAGACAGCAGATGGGAAATAGACTAAAGGGTCCGAGTCTGGCAAGCAAGGGAAAGGGAAGGACCAGGGGTCAAAAGGTTGTGTCTCAAGAAACCGACCAGATGGACGATGGGGAGGGCAGTGGTAACAGAGACCTTCGAGGACCAGGACAAATCAGCAGGCCCAAGGGAACTGGGCCACTCCGGAAGAGGAAATCCCGGGAAGCAGTGGGAACCTCTGCTCCTCCACACAACCAGTCTAAGAAGAAAAGGGAAGATTCCGATCCCTTCCCGGACTTGAATCCTAACCTTAAGACCTGTTCTTGGGCCAAAACCAGGGCCTCCTTCGGCTTCCACAAGAAGAAAATTGTAACGAATGTGTCAGAGGTATGCAGTATTTATACAATTGCCAGTTCTCCCTGTAGGTCCCTCCTGTCTGAATATTCGACCTCTCCTCTCACGAACATAGCAAACAGTACTGTTTCTTCTTGTCACTCCTCCTCTATGTATCTGCTAAGCCCCTTAAAGACCCTGCATGTCACAGACAAAAAGCCGTTTTATGCTGAAAAGGTTTATGGGGAGTGTAATCAGGAAGGGCCTATCCCCTTTAGTGACTACCTTTCCACAGAAAAACTGGAATGCTGTGAGAAAATTGGGGAAGGAGTGTTTGGGGAAGTGTTCCAAACGATTACTGATCAGACACCTGTAGCCCTAAAAATCATTGCTATTGAAGGACCAGATTTAGTCAATGGGTCCCATCAAAAAACCTTTGAGGAGATCCTGCCAGAGATCATCATCTCCAAAGAGCTGAGCCTCTTGTCTGATGAGGTGTACAACCGCACAACAGGCTTTATTGGGCTGAACTCAGCACACTGTGTTCAAGGGCCTTACCCTCCCTTGCTGCTCAAAGCCTGGGATCACTATAACTCAATCAAAAAATCTGAAAATGACCGGCCTGACTTTTTCCAGGAAGACCAGCTCTTTATTATCCTGGAATTTGAGTTTGGTGGGGTTGACTTAGAGCAAATGAAATCAAAGCTGTCCTCTGTGGCTACTGCAAAGAGCATCCTGCACCAGATCACCGCGTCCCTGGCAGTGGCAGAAGCATCGCTGCATTTTGAGCACCGGGACTTACACTGGGGGAATGTGCTCTTAAAGAAAACCAGCCTCAAAGAGCTCCACTACACCCTCAATGGGAAGACAAGCACCATTCCCACCCATGGGATACAGGTCAACATCATCGACTACACCCTGTCCCGACTGGAGCGGGATGGGATTGTGGTTTTCTGTGACATCTCCACAGAAGAGGACCTGTTTACAGGTGAAGGTGACTACCAGTTTGAGGTCTACAGGCTCATGAGGAAGGAGAACGAAGGCCGCTGGGGAGAGTATCACCCCTACAGTAACGTGCTGTGGCTGCATTACCTCGCAGACAAGATTCTCAATCACATGAGCTTTAAGAGTAAATGTCAAAGCGCAGCCATGAAGCAAGTAAAGAAAAAGCTGCTTCATTTCTACAGGACCGTACTGAGCTTCAGATCTGCCACTGACCTGCTCTGCCAGCACAGTCTGTTCAAATGAGCCAGGTAGTTGTACTCACCTTGAGAGTACTTGCAAAGCTTCATTGAGTACATTTTTAAAGCCTCTGGTACTGTTTTTAATCTCTGCCACTAGAGCAGGATGGAGGTAAATACCCATCCTTAAGAGTTCCCTCACAGCTTTTTAAAAGAGAATTTTGTTTTTAAAAGGTAACCAAAATGTTTGTCAACATGATTAAACTTGCTTTTAACAAATATTGTTGAGTCCTGTTGTCTGCAGAATCTACAAACCTGATGTTGCTGTTTTTGAGCCTTGGTAGCTTATGCAGGATGAGCAAAAGCGAGTCAGAAAAGCCCAGCCCTCTGCTGTGGTCCTTACTATTTCTGCTGCTGTTGCCAAGATGCGGAGCAGAGAGCAAGAACGAGACTAGAGAGACAAAAGCAAGAGAGAGGACTGTGCACCTGTGTAGGGAAAGTGTGGGAAATGTTTAGCAAATTCACTCACCAATCACAGCAACAGAAGCAGAATTAACAGATTTTTCAAATGTCTCTGTAGCACTAATATTTGGATTTTTGCTTATTTTCATAACAACAAAAAGGGAAACAGATTCTGCTTTAAAATCTTTGGGGGGGGTGTTGTTTTAAGATAGGGCTTCTCTGTGTAGCCTTAGCTGTGCTGGACTACCTTTGTAGACCAGACTGGCCTCGAACTCACAGAGATCTGCATGCCTCTGCCTCCCTGAGCGCTGGGATTATATAATCTTAATGGCTAATTTTCCTTCTGACTGTTACTCCTAATATTTTCCCATGATCAGATAGTCTTGTTTTTGTTTTTTGTTTTTTTTTTGGGGGGGGGGGGGGGGAGTTGATTGGTTTTTCAAGATAGGATTTCTCTGTGTAGCCATGGCTGTCCTGGAACTCACTGTGTAGACCAGGCTGGCCTTGAACTCACAGATACCCATCTGCCTCTACCTCCTGAATGCTAGGATTAAAGGCATGAGCCACCACTGCCTGGTTGATTTTTGTTTTAAAAAATAAAATAAATGCACATTAGTTTGTGTGCTGGTACAGGTTGAGGGGCAGGGAGACAAGGAGAGATCAGAGGACCTCAGTGGTCATTCTCAGGAATGTCATCCACCTTTGAGACAGTCATTCATTGTCCTGGAGTTCAGCAGTTGAGGTAGGTTTCTGGGATCCTTCACTTCCCTAGCAGTGAGGTTACAAGCACATACCACCATACCCAGCATGTTATATGGATTCTGGGAATCAAACTCTTTGTGTTTGCAAGGCAAATGCTGTAACTGAGTTATTGTCCAGCTCTTTATGTTTTTTCTAAGTGTTGAATCCAGGGCCTTGTGCTGCGTCCCCAGCCCTCTTTAGTTTATGACAAGCTCTCACTAAGTTGATCAAGCTAGTCTTGAACTTACTCTGTAGCTGCAGCTTAAACTTAGGAACTACCTTGCTTCATCCTCACAGACAGCTGCAAATGCAGGCCTGATTAAAGCTGAGCTCATATTTCTACCTTTGGGAACCTGTAGTCTCTGGAAAGAAATGTGGTCATAGTAAAGAATCCCATGGAAATACCTGAGTCTTCGTCAGCTTCTTCACTCTTACAATCTGGAAATCTTGTAATTTGATGGGAACACAAATTTGCAACTGGAATACAGCTCCAAAGAGATTCTCCCCATGCACCTGCCGGATAAAATGAGCGGAAAGTCAAAGCTTTACCAGCTTTAGGTTGGCACCGAGCACTGTGTACTTACATTGAAGAAGAATTCCTTGTGGTCAGAAGGGCTCTGGCTCGTGTTCACATACATCACGGACGGTCTGCAGTGAGAGGGTGTGTGAGAGAGAGGTTCCTTCCTGGTTCTGGATGAACCTGAGTGTTTCCAACCAGAACACTAAGACAGTGCCTGGTCCTTAAGAGGCCTCAAACCTGAGAGTCAAAATCTTACTTTACTTGTAAGGCAATTGGGACAAAAGAATATTTGCAAGCTATGCACTTGGACTCAGCGGGACTTGTTTCCCTTCTTTTCTCCAGCTGTCTGTGTACGTGTGTGGCAGTGCACTTGTCTGTGAATGTACGTGTGCAGGTCAGAGGTCAATGGCAGGTCCCCTACTCTCCACTTTTGTTTTTGACAGTGTCTCACTGAACCTGAAAGCTTGCCATTTCAGCCCAAAGGGTCTGCCTGTCTGACCTCACCCACCCTAGCACTGCCCTTTCAGGAGTGTGGCACCCCACTGTCTTTTATGGGTGCTGAGAACCTGAACTCAGGTCCTCATCTTGCCCAGCAATGACATTACACACTGAGCCACCTCCCAGCACTTCTCCAACCTCACAGCCACTCTTTGCACAGCATCACGTCAGTTCCCTTTTGTAGCAGGACCAGTTGGCACTCTGGTGTTGACCATGATAGTGTTTCAAAAACCCAATATGAGGTATGTAGGTGGTGCAGTAAAGAAACCAAAACTGCTGCTCCATGGGTGGTAAAGTTTATTCCAAACTGCCAAGGCTGTCTCTAGCATGGACCTTGATAAGCTGATAAGTACCACATGTATATGTTAATTGGAGACCCATAAGTCCCTTTGCCAGAGGTAAGGGAACTGACTCCTTTTGCCAGATGGGGACAGTTTCACAAGTTCCTGAAGAATGATAGCTTTGATTTAACCACCAGAAATCCTATAGTCTAGGTTGAGCTGGGTTGGACAAATCAGTGGGGCTGGCGTAGGTGTGTGTGTGCAGGTGCCCCTTGGTCCTGACAGTATCCTAGAAATGTTGGGCACTTCCGTCCACTACAGAGAACCCCAAAAGTCCTCATTGCACGACTGTCACACAAACCCTTGGAAATACTTACCTGGAAAGAACTGCAATGAAGGCATGTCTGAATTGAAGACTGTGGGTCTCTCTGGCCAAAGACTTCTTATTGGAACTGGGAATAAAAATGTTAATTGACCACACAACTGCTTTCTTGACTTCCTAAGAAATGTCTCAAAGGTGAATCATTTAGGCCACATCTAGAGAACAGTTGATTTCAGAAGGATTTCTCAGCTTCCATACTTGACATTTTGAGCCAAAGAATTTCCTGTTATGGACTTGTCTTACACACTGAACAATAGTTATTGGCACCTGCGGTGTCTGTCAGTAGAAGTCAGTATCACCTCCTAAGTCATGGCAATCAAAATTGTCTCTAGAGTGATGGGCATGGTGACACACACCTTTAGTCCCAATGCTTGGGAGGAAGAGGCAGGTGGATCTCAGTTCAATGCCTGCCTTGTCTACAAAGCAAGTACCAGGACAGCCAGGGCTACACAGAGAAACTGCGTCCCCACCCTCCCCCCAAAAAAGACTCCACACATTGTATCAGGAGCAGATTTGCCCTTGATTGACAGCCCCTTCCCAACACCACATCCTGTTCTACCTTTAAACATGGAGAGTTGTATCAGAGTTAAGAAAGCCAGAACTAGGACTCAGGTTCAAAGTTCATTCCACCAGAATATACCTTAGTGTTCCTTTGTGTGAACTAAAATATCTTTTAATTTTACTTTTTTAAATTTTTAACAATTTATTCATTATATCCCAATTGAAGCCCCCTCCCTCAACTCGTCCCAGTCCTACCCTCCCTTCCTCTTCCCCCCATCCCCTTTCTCTAGTCTACTGAAAGGGGGAGTTCTCCTCTGCCATCTGCCCATAGCTTATCAAGTCTCATCAAGACTGACTGCCTGGATCCTCTTTGGCCTGGTACGGCCGCATTGCCAGGGGCAAGTGATAAAACAGCGGGCAACTGAGTTCATGACAGGGGCAGCCTCTGCTCCCCTTACTTAGGAACCCACATGGAGACTGAGCTGCCTATGGGCTACATCTGAGCAGAGGGTCTAGATCCTCTCCATGCATGGTCCTTGGTTGACGTATCAGTCTGCAGGACCACCTGAGCTCAGATTTTTTTTATCTTTGTTGGTCTCCTTGTGGGGCTCCTGTCCCCTCTGTATCCTTCTATACCCCCTTCTTCCATAAAGAACTAAAATATCTTAAGTATCTTTGATGATAGAAAACTTTTGTGAGCTCAGTGAGGTATCCCATTTCTCCCAGAACAGCAAAAGAACCATAGAGCTCAGCCTGAACATTACAAGAACTTTTTCCCCAAGGCCAGAACTTATGCTTACTAATACAGTCACTACTTACTTGGAAACAGTCACACTGATGTCTGCTGTCCTGTTTGGAAAGATGTTCTCTTCTAGCTGCCAGATTACTGAGACATTTACCTATTTTAAAGGAGAAAATTAAAAAGTAAGTGGCGGAACTTGACAACTGCTTACTACTCACTGCCCAGACTTCTTCAATGCCAGGGAATGGAACGCTGACAGAATTAGAAGGATTAGAAGGGGTGTCCTCATTAGAGGAAGGGAGTGGACTTAAAGTTTTCAAAAGCTCACAGCAGGCCAGTCTGCAGATCAGTCTGTAGCTCTCAGCTACTGCTCCAGCAAATACCTGCCTGCCACCATGCTCCCTGTCATGATGAAATAAATGGACTAAGCTTCTGAAATCATAAATAAGCTCCCAATTAAATGCTCTCTTTTTACAAGACTTGCCTTGGTTATCTGGTCTCTTCACAGCAATAGAATGGTGGTGAAGATACTGGCTAAGCAGCGCTAGGAAACCCAGTTTACATTCCCCATGGTCTTTGTAGCACAGCCACTACTCCATGGAAGCCCCACAATGAAAATTCTCTTAGCCAAACAGCAGAGTTTCTGCACACTGCCCCCACTTCCCTCTGCTTTCCCCAGGGAAGCCAACACTGGCCACACATCAGAAAACCATTCCCCACAGCCCCTCCATTCTCCACTGCGGGGCAGACTTTATGGTGACCACAGCAAAGGGAAGCCCAGGGACCACAACTGAAAGTTGCAGGCCAGGCTGCAGTTCAGGAGCAGTGAGAAGGGCCACCTAATCACGACAGACTCACTCACGGATGATTTCTTGAGTATGGGGTGGCCAATCTTGCAGTTCATGATCACGACAGAAACAACTGACTTGGGGTCATCACACTGAATGTCTGGAGAGAGCGGCTGTTAAAATAGAAGGAGATGTTTTATCTTTATTTGTATTTTATTTTATGTGTATGAGCGTTTTGCCTGCATGTGTGTTTTTGTATGCGTAGGCATGACTGGTTCCCCCAGAGGTCAGAAAAGGGTGTCAGAGTCTCCTGGAACTGGAATTACAGATGGTTGGGAGAGCCACCTTGTAGCTTCTGTGATTCAAACCCAGGTCCTCTGGTAGAGCTCTCTCCAGCCCCAAGAGACGCTCTCAGGGAGGGAAAGGAGCACCAATTGAATAACCATTCGCTGATCTGACTGTCAGACTTGGTCCCTGGCCTCCTCACTGAGAGTTGAGTATAAACCAGAGCCTTGGGGTAGTGTAGAGACTGGTTCCAGCTGACAGGACTGTACAGAGTCCTCCTGGAGAGAAAGGCATTGAAGTTGGGCTATGGGGCAGGCAAGAGCCACACTGAGACCAGGGAAAGCTTGTGTGGGCTCAATCACTACTGTGCAGCCTTCCAACCACAGTTCCTCAACTACATCACCAAACAGAGCTACTCTCCCCCAGATACCCTAGATATGTAGAAGATAATTTCAATTTTTTGTAGAAGAGATACTAACTTATCTCAAGCAAACTGAGATCCCCGGGGGCAAACCTGTAGTCCTAACAGAGTTAGGTTTTACTGACTCCCTGCAAAGAGAAAAACTGCCTTGGGGTGTCTTCACTCAACAAAGGAGAATGCAGCATTGTTAGAGAGTTGGGGGTGGGTGGAGTTAAGGAAAAGGCAGATGAAGCTGTCCTGAGAGCCTCACAACAGTGCAAAGGTCAGGCAATGCCAGGGCAGCACGATCCCAGTCAGGTCCATATGCTACACGATGGAATTGTGTCCAGAAGCACTGCAGCTCTGATGGACACTGAATCTACTTCTCTGTCGAAGTGACTGAGATTACGCAGACAAGAACAGTTTTTTATTTTTTGTTTTTTGTTTTTTTTTCCCAGAAGAACTAACAGCAGAGTTTCCTACCATCTCTGAATTAAGAGAACATAGCGCGTTGGGCAGCCACAGGCTTGCAAGCTCATTTTTGCAGCTGGCCTTGTTTCAGTGAGCCCAGTGTGGTGAAGTTTCACTTCCTCCATATCTTAAGCATTAGAAGTTATCTTTCACAATCCTGATCTAGGGAGACTGTGAGCAAGGAGGAGTGATTTGTAGGCAAAATGGCACCACTGCGGGTTTGCAGGGCACAGAACTGGAGAGGATTCGTCTAATTGCTATTCCTGTACTGGATGGAGCAGAAGGAGGCTGGTAACAATGGAGTAGAATCAGGTGGGCAAACAAAGAAAAGCATGGCGGCATGTTCCCCAAGCCGCTGTCACGGTACCTTTTGTATCCTCTTAAACTGTAAGTTTCTGGGATAATTCAGAGCCATGTTTGTCATGTAGGAATCTTCCCCGGAGTTAGTCAGGCTGATATTCATGGTCACCTCCTTTGTGACACCCACCACAAGTTCCTGCCTGTGAAAGGTGAGAAGAGAAAGAGCCCATCCTTGGCAGTGTGTTTAATCTGTAGAATTCCTCCTGACTACAGAAAAGCACATTCTAACTATCCCCCAAGAAAAACTGCAAAAGACCCAGCTTTCCTTCCTGGCTCCATGTCCACATTAGCTGTTTAGCCACTAAGCAGTTACTGAGCTTATAGCCACTTACTTAGTAGTCACCATGAGCCAAAAGCCATGCCCCATGAGCCCAAGTAATCCTCAGAATTACCCTACAAAGTAGTATAGTTACTTCCCATTTTGCAGAAGAGAAAACAGAAACTAAAAGACAGAAGCTTTTACCACTAAGCTATACCCCCGGCTCATTTTGGTTGGTTGGCTAGCTAGATTTTACAAGTTTCATTCTGTTGCTCAGGTTCCTCTGGCATCCACTATGTGTCCCAGCTGGTCTTGCAATCCTTCTGCCTCAGCCTCCCAGGTCTGGGATTACAGGTTATGAACCACAGTGCCTGTCTGTGTTTGTTTGTTTTGTTTGTTTGTTTGTTTGTTTGTTTGCAGGAGACAGTCTCACTTTGTAGTCCAGGCAGGAAGTCTAGTTCTCATTTGACTCTGTAGAGGATCCATGTTCGCAACAGCGACTCTCAGTAGGCATTTGCCTGCTGTGTACACAAGGGGGAGGTATGGGGCAAGCTCACGGCTCAAAAGGAACCGCCTGGGATGTGGATCTTGGCTGCGGTTCACTCCCTGTTTAGAGCAACTGTTTCCTGAATGAGTTCTTTGGTAATGGCCCCACAGGTCATGCCCATCTGAAAGGGAAGTCTTAGGAACGTCCACTCAAGGACAGGGAATCTGTGCCAGAAAAGCCAACTCCAGACCACTGGCCATCGGCAGCACTTCACACATGGTAGCCACTGAGGGCATTCTTAAGACTGCCACGTGTCTCAAACCAAATAGGACCTCAGCTCAGCCCCAGCAACCCCATCAGGGACTGTGGTTGGATTCAGAGCAGTGAAGATCCGCAGGGGATGGAAAGATGGTCAATCTGCTGTATTATCCTCGTCCATTGACCTCAGATGAATATTCTGTACTATGAAATATGGCACCAGGTTTTGGTTTTCGCTTTATGTTATGTGTGTGTGTGGTTTGGCCTGCATTTACGTCTGCGCACCATACGCGTGCAGTGCCCTGGGAGGCCAGGTCAGCCACACAGCCATCTCTCTAGCTTTGGAGCTACACTTTTAAAACTGCATTTAAATGCAATGACCTTACAGTTCATATTTATTAATTGTAAGATATTCCAAGACAAAACCAAATTTAAACAATATCTACATAGTAACCCAGCTCTACAGAAGTTACTAGAAGGGAAACTCCAAACCAAAGAAAACAACTACATCGAAGGAAACAGAGGAAATAGATAACTACACAACAAAAAAAAACAAAAGAAGACAAGCAATGAAACTCAGTGACATTACCAACCCCACATCTAAAGTAAGTAACAATTGTTGGTCACTAGTTTCTATCAACATCAACGAACTCAACTCCCCAATTAAAAGACACAGACTAACAGAATGGTTGCGGAAACAGGATCCATCATTCTGTTGCATCCAAGAAACACACCTATGCAACAAAGATAAACACTACCTCAGAGTAAAGGGCTGGAAAAATGTCTTTCAAGCAAATGGTCCCAGAAAACAAGCGGGAGTAGCCATCCTAATATCTAATAAAATAGACTTTCAACCCAAGTTAATCAAAAAAGATAAGGATGGCCACTATATTCTCATCAAAGGAAAAATCCACCAAGAGGATATCACAATTTTGAATATCTATGCTCCAAATACAAGAGCACCTACATTCGTAAATGAAACAATATTAAAGCTTAAATCACACATTGATCCTAAAACCCTAATAGTGGGAGACTTCAACACTCCACTCTCACCAAGGGACAGATCAACTAGACAGAAAAAAAATAGGGAAATAAAAACACTTACAGAGACCCTAAATCAAATGGACCTAATAGACGTCTACAGATCTTTTCATCCAAACTCAAAAGAGTATACCTTCTTTTCAGCACCGCATGGAACCTTCTCCAAAATAGACCATATAGTTGGTCATAAAGCAAGCCTCAACAGATACAAAAAGATTGAAATAATCCCTTGTATTCTATCTGACCACCATGGACTTAAGCTGGACCTCAACAACAACAAAAATAACAAACAGCCTACACGCACATGGAAACTGAACAACTTGTTACTCAATGACAGCTGGGTTAAGGAAGAAATAAAGAAAGAAATTAAAGACTTCATAGAATTCAATGAAAATGAAGGCACAACATACCCAAATTTATGGGACACATTGAAAGCAGTGCTCAGGGGAAAATTTATAGCACTAAGTGCCTGCAAGAAGAAATTCGCAACATCACATACAAACAACTTAATGGCCCAACTGAAAACCCTAGAAAAAAAAAGAAGCAGATACACCCAAGAGGAGCAGACGGCTGGAAATAATCAAACTCAGGGCTGAAATCAATCAATTAGAAACAAATAAAACTATTCAAAGAATCAATGAAACAAAAAGCTGGTTCTTTGAGAAAATCAACAAGATAGACAAACCCTTAGCCAAACTAACTAAAAAGCAGAGAGAATCTATCCAAATCAACAAAATCAGAGATGAAAAGGGTTACATAACTACAGACACAGAGGAAATTCAAACAATCATTAGGTCATACTACAAAAGCCTATATGCCACAAAATTTGAAAACCTAAATGAAATGGACAATTTTCTTGATAGATTCCATCTTCCAACATTAAGTCAAGATCAGGTAGAAAGACTGAACAGCCCTATATCCCCCAAGGAAATTGAAGCAGTCATTCACAGTCTCCCCTCCAAAAAAAGCCCTGGGCCAGATGGTTTCAGCGCGGAATTCTACCAGACCTTCAAAGAAGTGCTCACACCAATTCTCCTCAAACTATTCCACAAAATAGAAACAGAAGGTATATTACCAAACTCATTCTATGAAGCAACAGTCACCCTGATACCTAAACCACACAAAGACCCAACAAAAAAAGAGAACTTCAGACCTATCTCTCTTATGAACATTGACGCAAAAATACTTGCAAACCGAATCCAAGAACACATCAAAGATATCATCCACCACGACCAAGTAGGCTTCATCTCAGGCATGCAAGGGTGGTTCAACATACGGAAATCCATCAATGTAATCCACCACATAAACAAACTGAAGGAGAAAAACCACATGATCATCTCCTTAGATGCTGAAAAAGCATTTGACAAAGTCCAACACCCATTCATGTTTAAAGTCTTGGAGAAATCAGGAATACAAGGCACATATCTAAACATAGTAAAGGCAATTTACAGCAAGCCTATAGCCAACATCAAACTCAATGGAGAGAAACTTAAATCAATCCCACTGAAATCAGGGATAAGACAAGGCTGCCCACTCTCTCCCTACCTCTTCAACATAGTACTTGAAGTCCTAGCCAGAGCAATAAGACAACTAAAGGAGATCAAGGGGATACAAATCGGAAAGGAAGAGGTCAAAGTGTCACTATTCGCAGATGATATGATAGTATATATGAGCGACCCCAAAAATTCAACCAGAGAACTCCTCCAGCTGATAAACACCTTCAGCGAAGTGGCAGGATATAAAATCAACTCAAAAAAATCAGAAGCCCTCCTCTATACCAAAGACAAAAGGGCCGAGAAAGAAATTAGGGAAAAAACACCCTTCACAATAGCCACTAATAACATAAAGTACCTTGGGGTGACACTAACCAAGCAAGTGAAAGACCTGTTTGAGAAAAACTTCAAGTCTCTGAAGAAAGAAATTGAAGAGGATCTCAGAAGATGGAAAGATCTCCCGTGCTCATGGATTGGTAGGATTAACATTGTGAAAATGGCCATCCTGCCAAAAGCAATCTACAGATTCAATGCAATTCCCATCAAAATACCAACTCAATTCTTTACAGACCTTGAAAAAAAGATTCTCAGCTTCATATGGAGAAACAAAAAACCCAGAATCTTCAAAACAATCCTGAACAACAACAGATCATCTGGAGGTATCTCTATCCCCGATCTCAAGTTGTACTACAGAGCAATAGTAGTAAAAACTGCATGGTATTGGCATAAAAACAGAAAGGAGGATCAATGGAACCGCATAGAAGACCCAGAAATAAACCCACACACCTATGAATACTCGATTTTTGACAAAGAAGCCAAAACCATTCAATGGAAAAAAGACAGCATCTTCAACAAATGGTGCTGGTCCAACTGGATGTCCACATGCAGAAAAATGAAAATAGATCTATATTTATCACCCTGCACAAAACTAAAGTCCAAGTGGATCAAAGACCTCAACATAAAACCAAATACTCTAAATCTGTTAGAAGAAAAAGTGGGGAACAGCCTAGAACTCATTGGCACAGGAGACAACTTCCTGAACAGAACACTAACAGCACAGGCTCTAAGAGCAACAATCAATAAATGGGACCTCATGAAACTGAAAAGCTTCTGTAAAGCAAAGGACACTGTCATCAAAACAAAATGCCTGCCTACAGATTGGGAAAGAATCTTCACTAACCCTTTATCTGACAGAGGACTAAAGTATATACAAAGAACTAAAGAAGCTGAAAAGCAGCAAACCAAGTAATCCAATTAAAAAATGGGGAACAGAGCTAAACAGAGAATTCTCGACAGAAGAATATCGAATGGCAGAGAAACACTTAAAGAAATGCTCATCCTCATTAGCCATCAGGGAAATGCAAATCAAAAGGACCCTGATATTTCACCTTACACCCATCAGAATGGCCAAGATGAAAAACTCAAGGGACAACACATGCTGGAGAGGTTGTGGAGAAAGGGGAACCCTCCTCCACTGCTGGTGGGAATGTAAACTGATACAACCACTCTGGAAAGCTATCTGGCGCTTTCTAAGACAATTAGGAATAGTGCTTCCTCAAGACCCAGCTATACCACTGCTAGGTATATACCCAAAGTTTGCTCAAGTACACAAAAGGGATATTTACTCAACCATGTTTATAGCAGCATTATTTGTAATAGCCAGAACCTGGAAACAACCCAGATGTCCATCAACGGAGGAATGGGTACAGAAATTGTGGTATTTTTACACAATGGAATACTACTCAGCAATCAAAAAGAAGGAAATCATGAAATTTGCAGGCAAATGGTGGGATCTAGAAAAGATCATCCTGAGTGAAATATCCCAGAAGGAGAAAGACAAACACGGTATATACTCACTTATATAGACCTATAGGATATTAATTGTAAGGGCTTGGACTAGTGGCAAGTGTGTCCCATGATGCAGTATTAGATCACTGGGCTGAACCTTCTCCTTGCTCCTTACCTCTCCTGTCAGCAAATCCTAAGACTGACTTCAAAATGGCCACTGTCTTTGCCTCCAGGCAGTCTAAGCCACCACCCTCTTACCAGTATCTGTCAGAGTTGGAATTATCTCCCTGCTTCCTACAATTCATCCTTGTTTAGCACAGTTGTTCTCAACCTGTGGGTCTCTGTCCCTTTGAAAGTCAAAAGACCCTTTCACAGGAGTCACCTAAGACCATCACAAAACACAGATATTTGCATTATTCATAACAGTTGAAGAAGCAACAGAAGTGATTTCATGGGTGGGGTCACCACAACACACATGAGGCGCTATAGTAAAGGCCGCAGTAGCACACTGTGCTAGCAAGAGCTATGTTGTTAAAATGCGAGCCCAGCTTGCTCCTCTGACCTCCAAGCTCATAGTCAAGTCTCTCAGGAGAGCCGCGTAGACTTCCTGCACTTCCCCCATGATACTCCTCCTCCCCCTCAGCCTTCTGCATTCGCATGGGGTCTGTGCTCCACCTTCCACCTGCAGGGCCTGCTTGTATCCAGGCATTTGCTCTACCCTCAGACACCCCCAAGAATGGTACCGCTCCTGTCACCCTCCCTGACCACTCTATTGAAAGCCTTGCCCATTCCCCGAACTTCTTCACCCCGTGGCTGACTTACCTTTGTGCCGTAGCCCATCAACCCAGGCTTACTTATCTATCACTTTCCCCTTAAGTGCCAGGAGGGCAAGGATTTTTGTCTTTACTGTTGGCTGAGTTAGTTCCCAGAATCTAAACTCCCTCGAGCAAAATAGAACTACTTCAGAATTTGTTTATGAATTTGGCCAAGAGGTGAACCAGGAAGTTCTAGGAGTGAGGATTGATCCCTCAGCATTGTCCAGGGTATCAAGAGACCTGGGTTTAGATTTATCAAATGGCCGCTGGGAGTCTATGCAAGGACTCCAACTACTGATCTGTTTTCTGATCTATACAATGGGAAGACAAATCTTCATCTTGCCTCCCTCACAGGGTGGCTGAAATAACAAATACAAAGTCCTGTTGAGGGCCATGACGGGGAGGGGAAAGGAGTGTGCATGGGTCTGGAAAAGGGGCGTGCCCAGGTGACCGTCAGGAAGACCTCAGCTGCAGAACTGATGCTCGTTAGATAACACGACCCGACTCACTGAGACATGGAGGTGGCCAGCTGGACCTCAGCGACGCAGAACACTTTGTTCCTGCAGTCCTTCTCATAGGGCAGCTGGAAGCAGACAAAGAGAAGGGGTCTCAGCAACCGCGACCCTGACCTCCTCCGAGGACTTCACCCACCATGTCCTGCTGAAAGAAGCAGGACTGAAGAGAGTGGAGGCGCCAGCTGAGACTGTGCCCCCGAGGCTGGAGAGCTGTGCGACATTTTCAGGCCGCACGGGCACACTGTGACCCAGGCCAAGCACCCAGAGAGAGTGACCTTTGTGGAATGTTAGGCACGCTGTCTGCATGTGTGCATTGAGCACTAACACTCAAGCAGCTGTCTACCTCCAGGGTCTGCAGTGGAAAAACGTTATGAAAGAAAGCTTCCTCGGAAGCTTTGGAACATAGGCAGAAACAGCTGGGGCAGGAGCAGGATACTGTGGGTGAATTCTTGGGAACACCCTCCTCCACCAAGGCAGTCTTCTGAGTAAGTTAACTACTTCCCTTTTAATTCTGCATATATCTCACAAGTAAACCATACTGCCACATTTGCTTGCCATCCTAGCGCTAGGGGTACTGTGATAGGATGGTAAGTTTGAAGGTAAATTTGAAGCCTGGGCTACATAGCAAGACCTGTCTCAAAAATAGAGAAAGAAAGACACATTTGGTTCAGAAGCTCTTCAAGACTGAAAAGTCTCAGTTTGAGTTGAAAAGAACCAAGTGTTTTAAAGAAGCCAAGTCTAGTTTTTTGTAGTAAAGGCAACTGCCAGCTCCCCAGCTTAGGAGTCTTTGCCCATAGCTTCCCAGCAGCTGGAGATCATCACAACAGCTTTCTGCAGGAATAGCAGCAGGGCTAAGCTTGTGTGGGAGCCCAGAGCCTGAAAAGAGACCGTGAAGATGGAGTTTGCTAAGTCATAGTGTGGAGCTCTATCTAATCGGATCAACAAATTTGTGCTGCCTTATTTGTTTGTTTATTTTGGTGCTTAGGGTGAACCCCAGGGCCCATGCCCCAAGACCTGTTTTTAAATTTAGGCATTGTTTATTTTTAGTGTGTCCTGTATACAGTGCATGTATGTGAATGTGGCATGTGCATGCCACAGGGCCCGTGGAGGTCAGCTCTCAGGAGTTGGTTCTCTCCCTCTACCAAAGGACCTGGGAACTGCACTCAGGTCATCAGGCTTGCAAGTGCTTCTTCCTTCTGTACCGGATGAAAGACAACAGGGTGAACCTATCTTAGTCCCAGCTGCAACTCTTCCCTTGTAGCATCCGTGTGCTCACAGCACCGGCTTTTCCCTCCTTGCTCTTACTGACGAAATAAATATTTTAAATTCTCTTTTCCAAACCATCACAGTAATAATCAAGGACAACTTATAAATAGATGCTGAGCAGATATGTACATCTTAAACTTTCTCACTAAAATACTCATTTACAAAAGAAAATGGGAAGTGGGCAGTGGTAGCACATGCCTTTAATCCCAGCACTCTGGAGGAGAGGTAGGCAGATCTCTGTGAGTTCAAGGCCAGCCTGGTCTACAGAGTGAGTTCCAGAACAGCCAGGGCTACACAGAGAAACCCTGTCTCAGAAAACAAGCAAAGTGAAATGGGAGCAGGAATAGCAGGCACACAACCCACGCTGAGCCTCCCATGGGATGTCTTGACACAGCTTTACTTCTGTGGTGTACAGCCTGATCTCATCGTGAGGAAACACAAGAAATAACTCAACTGAGGGACAACCTACAAAATAACTGTCCTATGTCCTTCTAAACTGTAAGAGTCCTGAGAGACAAGAAAACAAAAGTGGGGTGTTGGTATAATGTTCTTTTGAAATGTATATACTTTACCCTTGTTCATTCAAATGCTGATTTCTCCGCCTTGACCCCCAGCTCTCTGGTTTCAATCTGGACATTGCATTGTGATATTTATTCTAAGCATCACCTGTCTCAACTTTGTGTAAACATGCCAAAATAAAGCAACTAGCCACAATGTTGAGCAAGGGAAAGGAAGCAGGAAGACAGGAAGGAGCCAGAGGACAGGTAAAGAGTGGGAGGCAAAAGGGCAGGGGCAGAGCTAGGAGAGCAGAGTGAGAGGAGATCTTGGAAGGACGGAACAACGGGGAGAGATGGACTGGACCTAATATATCACTAAAAGCAAGTATAATGTAGGAAATCTAAACGTTAAAAAACTATGAAGGTTTGGAGGTTTAGGATGGAGTAACTATTGCCCAGCATTGTGTTCTAGGTTAACTAAGTAAATCCCAGTGTCTGGGTGGTGATTTGGTTATACAGTTGTTTAGGATTAACAGCAGCTTTACCAGAAGGTACATCAATAGTAAATATTAATCACCACATACAACAGTGGGGCATGGTGTCAAACGCCTATAGTCCTAGTGCTTGGAAAGTAGAAGCAGGAGTTCAAGGTCATCTTTGGTTATAGGGAGCTCAAGGCTAGCCTGGACCATATCTCAAAATAAAAATAAAGAGGGCTAGAGAGATGGCTCAGAGTTAAAGAGCACTGGCTGCTCTTCCAGAGGGTTTTGACTTCAATTCCTAGCAGCCACATGGTGGCTCACAACCATCTGTAATGGCATCTGATACCCTCTTCTGGCGTGCATGAAGACGGAGCACTCATATACATAATATACACAAATAAATACATCTTTGCCTGTTGGTGATGAAACTTGCCTTTAATCCCAGCACTCTGGAGGTAGAGGCAGACAGCTCTCTGTGAGTTCAAGGCTGGCCTGATCTACAGAGTGAGTTCTAGGACATACAGAGCTACATGGAAAAACCCTGTCTTAAAAAAAAAATCAAAATAAAATAAATAGATAAAATTTTTAAAAAAGAAATAAAAAAAGAAAATTTAAAATAAATAAATATGAAGACAAGGAAAGACATAAATCAATCACTCTAAATTCAAAATAGCTAAGATAAATGACAATAAAAATCCTAGATTTGTTTATTTTAATTTAGTGTTGATTGACTGATAAAGGGTGTCATATAGCTCAAGCCAGCCTTGAACTCACTGTTCAGCCATCGATTTGGATGATGTGGAACTTGTTTTTCTGCCTCTAGCTCCTGAATTCTGGGATTATAGTCACGTGCTGCAGCAGGCCTAGTTTTATTGAGTGTAAAGAATGGAACTTAAGCCTCCATGTATCCTAGGCAAGTACTCTATCTACTGAGCTACACCTCCAGAACTATTTTTCTTTTGCTAAATGCAAGTTCCTGGGATATCAGGCAAAACATGAATAAACTTGTGGAGTGGCTAGCAGCATTCCATCAGTGTAATTCTGATTTCATCCATCGCGCAGTGGCCGAGAATGGCCTTGTTTTTAGGGAGTATGCACTGAGCATGGGGTGAAGAGGTAGCAGATCTGGAGCTTACTATCAAATGAGAATTCTTTGTATTGCTGTTTTTAGACAGGGTCTCACTGTGTAGCCCTGTGTGGCCTGGAACTTGCTAGGTAGACTTAACTGGTTTAGAACTCACAAAGATCTGCTTCAGTCTGTGCTGCCTGAATACTGGGATTAGAGTGTGCAACCACACCCACCCCAACTACTACTCCCTTGTATTCTTGTTATGGCTTTTTTCTCCCTGGTGCTCTTTCTCTGCTCTGTAGCTGAAGACTGATGAGCACCCTGAGGAAGGACAGCCTGAGGAAGGACAGATCACCTTAGGTACGACAGGATTAGAAAATTCAGCTCCATTATCTTTCTTTGGTCATGAAGGACTTTCTGTGAACTACCTGCCTGTCCCAGATGCACTGATGGGCACCAGCGTAGAGGGAGGTGCAGGCTTGCTGGGCCAGACACCTCAGCATAAAGGCTCCGAGGAGAGCCTGAGCAAGCAAGCGTGTCCAAGGGTGTCCTGTCTGCAGCTCACGGAAGGACAGTTCCAGTGTAGCCCCCACAAGGGACCCACCACCACCATCCTCAGAGACCATGCAAAGTGAGAGCTCCAGCGCACAGTATGTCCACGTGTGTCACTCAGCATGGAGGGAGCACATTGGTGCACAAGCCCAGGGCAATAGCTGGAGACCTGCTATCCCCCAGTGAGCAATGAACAGCAGCCACCTCTGGCTGCACTTCCCCACTGACAGTCTGAATTCCCTCCCTCACAACTCTAGCCATCTTTGAAGTTAGGGGAGCAAGACGCTTGAGTGCTTCCTGGGGGTGGAGTCACCTGGAAGACAGCAGAGGATTTCTTGTAATAGTCGAGGATGGGGTCGGAGAGATCCCTCTTTTGCCCAGGAGTCTGGAACTTGTAGCTGACCTTGACAGTGATGTTAGAGAAGCAGTCCTCTTCACAAAGCTGTGGGTGGGGCAGGAGGCAAGGTCAGAGGTGGGTGTGAAGAAGAGGCCAAGGAAAAATAAACAGTGACAGTGATGACCTAGAATCTTCCAAAGGTCTGGGCAGAGGGGAGATGTTCTTCAAGCAAGCCACCAAGAGCTTCAGCAGTTTCTCCAATCTGCCCCACCCTTGGGTCTCAAGCCTCTATATGGTTCTCACTCCAGCCACAAAGGGATTCTAGCTTAGAGTTTATGTAGAGGGCAAACAGGAGCGCGGTGGGGGGGGGGGGGGGGGGGGGGCTGTAGCCACGTGTGAGTTAAGGTCTCCAACCAGCGTGGAGGAGAATTGAGGGGTAAAAACTGAAAATAGGAAATGGGTGGAGGAGGCCATTTGCTACACTATATTAAAATGAGCCTTCTGGTCAGAATAAGCGCACTGAGGGCTGGCAAGATGGCTCAGTATGTAAAGGAGTGGCTCCCGAGCCTGGCAGCCTGAGATCAATTCCCAGAACCCGATAGGGGGAGCCGACTCCCACAGGTTGTCTGCCCTCCACACGCACACTGAGGAGTGCAGGAAAAACAAATAGTTAAAAGCATGACACGAGAGCAAAAGAGCTGGTTGCCTGGTAAAACAGAGTTAGGCATTTTTTTTGAGATTTATTGTATTATTTTAGTTACGTACATGTGGGGATGGGCATTTGTGCATATGAGTGCTGGTGCTTAAGGAGGCCAAAGGCATTGGATCCTCTGGATCTGGAGTCCCAAGCCCCCTAATGTGGTGCTGGAAAACAATTTCAAAAGCAATGTACACTTCTAACCTCTGAGCCATCTCTCTAGCTCTATGCTGTTATTTTTAGAGGGCCATAGATGTTTTAGAAACTTTCCTAAGCCAAGTAACAGAGCAGAATTCAAAGCAGAATTCGTGAGTTTGTCTTCTGAAGTAAATGGTCCATGCAGTCCAAAGTTCTAAGACCTGTTCCACTCTCAATTCCAACAAGGCCACTTTTTTTTTTTAAACCATAGCTCTCAATAGCTTCAGCAAGATTTCTCTTTTTAAATAACCTTTAAAAATAACACTGTCTTTGTAGTTCTGCCTGTTAAAGCTATGTGTGTATGTTCATTGGTTTGTTTTATGTGTATGGGTATTTTGTTTTCATGGACATTGGAGTCCCTGGAACTGGGGTCACACATGATTGTGAGCCACCATGTGGGTGCTGAGAGTCAAATCTGGATCCTCTGGAAGAGTAATCAGTACTCTTAGCCACTGAACTATCTCTCCAGCCCTCAAGTTCTGCCTCTTAATTGCCCATTTTCCTGATGTGGATTCATGAAAGGCCCTTCAGCCTAGGAGTAGATAACACACTGAAGCCATTCCCCTCTTCATCCCGTCTCTAGGAAGCTCAATGATGCTGTCTATGCTCAATTCTGGTAGATGCCTTCCTTTCTCCTACTCTTTCTCCCTGCCTCCTTAGTCCCTTCCTTCCCAGTGGACTAAACATGGGGCCCCACACATGCAGAGCGCCCACAACATGCGCAGTATCCATGATCCTTGCAACAGCCCAAGCTTGTTTAGTGGGGACTTCTGGCAGGATTGTATTTCCAGTGCCGCTTTGTGGCTCCTGATAATACTAAATTACGGCTGCCTAGTCCTATCATTGTCTGTGTGGAGAGGCTCTGCATGGCAGATAACTTCTCTGGGTCACTGTCTGCATTCTCTACTCACCTCCTCCGTGGGGATGAGTTCCAAGTGTTCACACAGAGAGGCTCCTCCGCTCCACTTCCTGAGGCAGCTCTGACAGCTGATGTCTGCACATTGTAGCCTCTGCCTCTGCTTGCTCACATCCACTTCCACCGTGAAGTTGAGTGATATGTCTCTAAGGCCTGTGGTCGAAGACCAGACTGATGAGGCTGGGAAGGGAAAGGCCCGGGCAGAGAGCCCCAGCCTGATGAGGCTCTGTGAGCCCTGATGAACCATGTCCCCATTTTTTTTGAGGGTTTCACCATATAGCTCCAGCCTGGAACTTGCTGTGAAGACCAAGCTGGCCTTGAATTCACAGAGATGCACCTGCCTCTGCCTCCCCAGTGCTGGAATTAAGCCTGGCTATTCATCATCATTTTGAAAGTGATTTCCCACCCCTCTAGTTTTCTGGTAGACCTGGCCAGGGTCCCTCGGTGTTCAGCACACTCTCTGGGTTGAATCCAACCTTCCTTAGGCAAAGAGGGCTGAGGCAGGTGTGCTGGCTGGTTTCATGCCAACCTGACACAAGCTAGAGTCCTCTGGAAGATGGAACCTAGTTTCATTTTGTTTGTTTTGTTTTGTTTTTTTCCTACCCTTGAGGTTGGTCATGACCCTCACCCAAGAGGACTTCATGACTAGGATTGTTCATGAGGTTTAAACCTTGAGATTTGCTGGAAGGCTGCTGGGAGGGAGCTCTTGGCCCTGGACACCGGGCTGTGACAGGTATGCCCTCCTCCCTCTGGCCTTTTTCCTTCTGAGTGGAAGAGCAGCTAGGACCCCAGCAGGCTCTTCTGGAGAAAGGGAGTGTGCCTCTGGGAGCCCTGCAGTGATCAGGCAGGGAACAGCAGGAGAAGATGCACAGCCAATGCCTTTCTGGACATTGTTTCAAAAGCACCCCTCCTCCCAACATGGCTCTGAACTCAGCTCATCTGTTTCATTCATCACATTCAACTGAACTAAGGACTCAGGAGCCAGGCTCCAGGAAAGGAACTACTGCCATCCCTAAAGCCAATCAGGAATGACTACAGCCCCAGCATGCCCCATCAGGCAGCCCTTACCTGGCTCAGAGGCTGTGCCTGAGGAGTCAACTTTAAAACACAGTTCTACATGTATCCTTCCGGTGAAGACCATGGGCAGCGCATCAGGGGTAAAGGTCATAGATACAGTCAGGTTAACCACAGGTCGTGAGCTAAAGCAGACAGTAAAGAGGCCCATGAGAAGTGAGCACATTCTGTCACAGTCAACATCTCCAACATGCAAGGGTGCACAGAGACCTCAGAATGTATTAGCATAGCGAGAGGGAAAAGGGGAGGCTTTGCTCACATGGGGAAGTAGACAACCAGAAAGAGGCAAGAATAGGGAAATACAAGATCCTGGTGATGTAACAGAATAAGGTGATAGAAACGGAGGTCACTTAAATGGGTGGTCAGAATGTTCTTCCTGATAAGGAGGCCTTGAAAGTGAAGCCATTAACAAGAAAAAGTCAGCTCTGTGAAGGTCTGAGGGAAGGTCTGAGGGAAGCGCCCCAGGCAAAAAGCTCAGCTAGTGAAGAAACTGTGGCAGGATGAGGCTGGTTTGTCTGAGAAATGCAGAGGTCAGGAGACTGGAACAATGACTGAAATAGACAGTGGTGACAAGAGTTGGGGACAGGAGGTGGGCAGGACCAGTCACAGATAGAAATGTAGGTCAAGACAAAGAACTGAATTTTTACTCAAAGTGGGAGCCACAAATGATGGGTATTTTGTTTTTATTTTTCTCTGAGATAGAGTTTCTTTGTGTAGCCTTGGATGTCCTGGACTTGCTTTGTAGACCAGGCTGGCCTCAAACTCACAGAAATCTGCCTGCCTCTGCCTCCCTGAGTGCTGGGGTTCCAGGCATGTGTCACCAAGCTGGGCCACACTGAGAGGTTTTAAGCAGTAGAGTAGAGGGATCACATCAAGAGAGCATGGGAAAGTCTACGTGGTGGTCCTGTCAAGCCACAACAGCTCCCTGTGCTGGGAGATGTTTTGAAGTCAAAGCCAACAGCAACAACAACAAAACCTAGCTAGGATGATGGAGGAAGGATGAAGAGGCCTACAGAAAGCTTTTGTCCTCTGTAGCCTTGAGCTGGTGATCCACTGCCTCCACCTCCTGAGTAGCTGAGGCCACAGGCCCAAGCCACCAGGGCCAGACCTGACTCTAATCATCACTCTCTAAGTGGGTGATAGAGTACCATTTGCTGAAACTGGAGCCTGAGGGAGGGGCAGCCTAGAGTTGGAAGGGGAGAGGTATAAGTGTCCCATTTGGAGATGCTGGTGAGCAGGCAACAGGATGGAACTCTCTGGGCACACAGGGGCTGTAGCCACAGGACCGAAAACTGCTCCAGGTATTCTGAAAGTCACAGGATGCTGCCTCCCTTAACTATGTTACCTTCCTTGAGTACTTCCTCACACAATCCTCCCGCCCCTGTGAGGCAGGCACTGCCATTATTCCCAATTGTGGATAAGAAAGTTGGGACTTAAATTCGATAGTCCACCCAAAGCCATCCTGTTGAGAGCCGAGGAGCACACTCACCCAGGCAGTCCCCAGAAGCTGTGCCCCATCTCCACACTTCCTCCCTCCCTTGGTGCCTGGAATCTGCAGGACTCACTGAGTGTAAAACAAGGGGTGAGGTTGGGACTTGAGTCACAAAAAGACAGAGAAGACCCCTACCGGAACACTGCTGCCTGGTCCCGAGAGCCAACCGTGATGTCAGCAAGGCCATCTCCATTGAAATCCAAACCACCGGACACAGACATGCCAAAGTAGTGGAGTCCCAAGGCCATAGAGGAAGCTCTGATCCACTGGGAGGGAGATAAAAGTTTCACCTTCTAGTCCTTCAGCAGTCACCCACCTCCCTACCCTGGTGGTGAACTGTCTTTGAGGAAGAGACATCCAGGTGGAGCTCTGAAGGCAGGTGGAATGGAACTGGGGTGGGGGCAAGGGGGAAGAGCAGAGCCCTCTGAGGACACAGTGAAGGCTTGGTGGTGCTGAAGTTGGGTGGGGTAGAAGGAGGTAAGGGACTGTGAGTGCAAAGGAGGCTTGATGTGGGATGCAGTTCTGAAGAAGTGACCTCATCAGGAGCACAGTTTAGAAGCATCCCTGGAGGCACAGGGAGAAGATGGGCTGGAGGTGAAAGCTGGGACCCAGGGGAGGATGCCATGGTGTGTGTGTGTGTGTGTGTGTGTGTGTGTGTGTGTGTGTGTGCGTGTGCGCGTGTGCGCGCACATGTGGTGGGGAGGGGAACAGAGCCAAATCATTAGGATGTGGAGACTGACAAGCTATGGACTAAGATGTGTAAGAGACCTAGCGACCACTTGGGGGAGATGCTAGGGAGCAGATGCGGGGAGGGGGGGGCAAGGAGCCAGAGCATGCTGGATGGAGGTAAGACCCGGAGGAAAAGAGACAGAGAGGGACCCTGAAGTGAGTTGATGGTCAGCCTAACCCTGGTGACCTCCTGCCTTCACCGGCATTCTCCACCACCGGGGGCTGGCCCAGAACTTAGGACCAAGGCTGCCTTCAGGGTTTAGCTCATTCTGTCTGTGGGAGGTTTGACCCCCCCCCCCAGAGAAGACGCAGGAGAGAGCCTGTGAGTCACCTGGGAGGGATTAGCGCGCAGGCCACCCGAGTGTCCGTTGTAGATGTACACGCTGCCGTAGCTGGCCCCATCGCCTGCCTCAAAGCCCTCCAGAGGGGCCCCGATGGCCACGTCTGTGAACTTATCTTGGTTGATATCGCCCACAGCTGCCATGGCAAAGCCGAAGCGGCTATTGGTGAGCCCAGGGTGCCCACTCAGAGTGAATGCCAAGGGGAAGGAAGCACCCTGCAAAGTGGACCAACAGGTCAGTTCCCAAGACAGTGTGTAGGACAACCATTCCAGGACCACCCAGAGGGCACGCCCCCTCACTGGTTCCCTCTCTCCAGCAGGAGTCTCTCCTCAGGAGCCTGTAGGAGAGCCAGGGTCTTTCTGTCTTGCCGTTGAGGACCTGGAGCCTGCCCTCTGTCCCCACACATGGCTACATTAGCAATAGAGAAGCTCAGGGTCCAGTGGCACTCTCCCACACCCTTGCAGGGAAAGCCTGAGCAAGCTCACTGTTCCCATCCTCATCACTGGCCATGTGAGAACGAGAGCCACCGCCAGAGTTACCATGAGAAAGAGATGAGCCCAGGCAAGTGTTCTGCCTCCTGGGCAACTGTGATAGATGGCACCAACAATCACCCAGGTAGGACAGGGGACAGCCATACACCCTGAACACCCACAATCACCGTCCACCGTTTGCCCAGGCTCACCCAACCTCTGCTGCATGAGCAGGCACAGCCTTGGAAGCTCTGGAGGCTGAACACTCACCTGCTCACGCACGTGGTACACATAGACTCTGCCTTCTTCTCCACGGATGTGGTAAAATGGAGCCGCCACCAGCAGAATATCTGTGATCCCATCCATGTTGGTATCCACAGAGCACAGCTCAGAGCCAAAGTAGGACCCCATCTACAGCCCAGAAAGAACTCAGCACTCCTGAGCATGGGGGAGGGCCCCTTCCCACCCTCCCACAGCTAAAGCCATAGCTGTGCCCTTCCTGGAGCATCCAGCTAGGGCTGTTCCAGGTCAGTCTCAGTCTGATCTCTGGTGTCATAGGGGATTAGGGGTGAACAGCTGAGTCTCCACAGGGGGAGCGCTTGAGCAGCCATGAGGGCCACTGAATTACACCCAGGCCTTCACCTTGCCCAGGGCCGGCCCACCCCTCTCCCCAGGACCTCAGGGTCCCCCATGGTAGACAGAGGACTTCTCCAGGGGGTACCTGCTCTCCCTCCATCTGTCGAACAAAGGTGGCCTCTCTGTCCTTCTGGAGCTCAAACACAGCCCCACGGAGTTTGTGCCTTGGAGCCCCCGCCACGTAGGACAAGCTACGGGCCTTGTGCAGCACAGCCACTGAATAACCTGGGTGAGAGTGGTGTGGCTGCAAACACCGGCTCCCACCTCAGCCTCTCCCTGCAACGCCTTCCCAGTCATGTGTTTCCACTGCTGCACCCACTCCTGCACCCCTTCAGCACAGGTGCACTCTACAGGGAGGGCTAGGGTGAAGGATGGGGAGGAGTACTCACTACCATTATTAACAGAGACGTCCCAACTTCCTCTTATTGAGCCCCAAGGCCACCCTGTCTCCATCCCTAATTCTCAACCTGTGTCACTGACTGAGGTCTGATGGCCTGATGACCCATGAGACTGACCCTAGCCTGACTCTACCAAGAATCCTAATGTGCGCACCCGCAGGTAACCTCCGTGTCCCAGACTAAGTTGTCTCTGGGTTAACTTCCAGGCCCCCAAGCCGCTCCCGAAGGCTACAGGTACTACTCTTGCCCCTCGCCCAACCTCCAGGCCCCACCCTGACCCTCTATCCCTTTGCTAGGTTTCCTTGCACTCTGTCTTTCCATCCAGGCCCTGCCTCGTCCCACCCTCCTGCCCTTTTCTTCTAGTTACCTACCTGGCCCCAGGCTGCAGGCCCCACCCTAGTCCCATCTAGCCCACCAGGCCTTGCCCTTACCAAGGTAGCTGTACTGTGCAGCTCCAGAGTCCTCCGAGGTCTGGTTTAGAAAGCAGCCCCGATCATTCTGTGTGTCATAGAGGAGCGCGCCCCCAGACCAGTTAAAGGCTCCCACAGTGCCAAGCAGCAGCCACCCCTGCAGAGGACCCAGAGGGCATCAAATGAGCCAGAGGGACCCAAGGGCCAGAGAAGCAAGACTTCCTGGACAACAAAGAGGGCCTTCCATGGTCAGGAAGGAAGATGAGATGGCAAATTCTGGTTTTCTGCTCAGTTGTCTGCTGTGCAGCCAGAGCTCCAGAAGGCACCCTGGGACCCAGACAGTGAGGTTTTTGTGTTTGTTTGTTTGTTTGTTTGTTTGTTTGTTTGTTTGTTTGTTCGAGACAGGGTTTCTCTGGGTAGCCTTGGCAGCCTACAATCACAGAGGCTGGCCTCAAACTCACAGAGATCTGCCTGCCTCTGACTCCCTGAGTGCTGGGATTATAGGCATCGCCACCATGCCTGTAATCGATATTATTATGCGATATTGAGCGTTTTTAAATGTACGATTGGCTTAGATGGTGCTCCCATTTGTCCCCTGGGCCACGTGAGCATGAAGGTGCCGTGTCCTGCAGCATGTGCTATTGGGAGGAAGAAGTACAGAGGCTTTGGGGTGACTGACTTCAGCTCTCACCTGCACAGAGCCCCAGTTAGTGAGTGCGCCATCTGTTGACCCTTTCCTTTTTCCTTCTCTGTTTCCTCTTCTCCCCACACTGGACAAAGCTGAACTTTGCCAAACTGCATGTTTTCCTGACACATCTCAGAGGGCTTGCCACCAAGGCTGATTCTCTGTACTCAGAGCTAAGATAATGTCCCAGTCCTTTAAGTGTGCACAGTGACTCCTAGAATAAACTCGCCATTCTTCTGTCTAACTCAGTGGTCCAGCTAGGGAAAGTGAGCAGACAGTTTCTGTTTCTGAAGCAGCTCCTCCAGAGAGCCTTCCACACAGTAACCATGAGCCAGGAGCCCCTCATTCCCCCGTGGCGGCACATCTTGGGATCCAGGTGTTGAGTGGGCCACAAACCTTGTCCAGGATCTGGGCACTGAAGCCAGTCTGTGCCACTTGATACTGAAGGGCATCTCCAACTGCACCTGGAAGCCAAGAAGTCTATAAGACACTCTGTGCCAAGAGGCAGGGTGAGGTATGTCCAGAAGGGGACAAAGCGATAGATCTTTGGTGAAATCTGCATTGAGCTGAGAGTGGAGATTTGGGTTGAGCTTAAGCAAGAACTGGGCTTCCATCTCCTCATCTGTAAAGGGTTGGGACTTTGTCCTAGTCTTACTTGCTTTTGCACTATTGGTCCAGCACAGTTTCATAGATTCGGGTGTTGAGGAGGACCTAAGGTGCCAATGCCATTGTAGAGATTAATAGCTGTGGCTCAGGGAGGTGATCCGAGTCAGGGAGAGTTGGCCTTGGGAAGGGTCACCTGCTGAACGCTGAGGGGCTCTCACAAGAACTGTGGGAGCCCTCACCTTCCATATAGATGATGCTTTGTTGCAGATCCTGCAGGAGGTCATTCAGAGCTCCATAGTTGTTCACCTTGAAAGTGTGGGTCTCTTTGGGGTCCGAGGCAATTAGTTTCAGTTCTCTGTAAGTCTTACTTTTATTGAACGCATCGCCCACCTATATGAAGACGCCAGTCAGTGAGTGATTCATCACCGTCTCCTTCCCTGCTCAGTGTCCTTCACCCCTAACAAAGCTCTACCTTTGGCAGTGTGTTCCTGACACACCTGGCTCTCGTTGCATCCTCCTGCATGCTGGCCCTTCTGCCTACAGAGCCCGACGGCCCTTCCCTGTGCACAGGGCCAGCTGGCCATGTTAGCTACCAGGACTTGGCACAGCAGACTCCCTAGGCACCTTTGTTCGGGTTTTCCGCATCCTGCTTAGCCAGTGAGCTATGCCAGCCTCAGGATGAGCCAACAAGACCCGACAAGACCAGGTGCCGAGTGAAGAGAAGTGACTATGAATAGAAAGGGCTTAGCTCTGCTGCCTCCAGGAGTCTCCACTGGCTCCTCCCCCACCAGGGGTATAGGGAGTCAGGCTTGCCTCCCAGCTCTGGCTCTTACCCCAATGGCAAAGCGCACCACACCCTGCATCTTTGCATCGTTGAGGACAGTTGTGAGGTTGAGAGGGTCCTGAAATATGTCACCATCAGTGAGCACCACCATGACCTTCAATGCTTTTTCTCTGGAGCCACCGCTTGGAGTGAAGATGTTGTCTCTTAACAGGAGAGAGAATAGAGATAGTCTTCCAAAAAGGGGTGTCTGGGCTCTAGGCAAGTTTTGATTCACTGATCTGCTTGAATTGGAGTATTAGGGAGCTCTCCAGATGGGGATCAAAGACCCAGAAGAGGGTGGACTTGGCCCTTATGCATACAGCAAGGCACAAGCCACACAGATGTGCTTCGCCCTCTCCTGCTCCCCACAATAAGAGCACTGTGTCTGACCTTCATGGGTACACAGTATGGACCTTTACGTCAAAAAAGCACGTGATGCTTGCTTTTTATTTTACTTCTATAAAAATTTGTACTCTCAGGTTTTTTTGTTTGGTTTGATTTTTGTTTATTGTTTGTTTGTTTTGAGACAGGGCTTCTTTCTGTAGCCCTGACTACCCTGGAACTAGCTATATAGATCAGGCTGACCTCAAACTCACTTTTGGGGTTTTGAGGTACAACTTTGCAGCCTCCTGAGTGCTGTCACTACAGACATGTGTCACCATGCCTAGTTTCAATGGTACGTATGCACCAGGCACTATTATAAACACTGTACATATTGTAAATTATTTAATCCTCACAAAACCCTAAGAAGCAAGAATTTGTGCTATCTTCATGCTAGAAGTGAGGAAACAAAGCACAGAAGGTTAAGTAGCCCAAGACCACGCATGAACAGCTAGGATCTGAGCCCAGCAGCCTTCTCCAGGCACTCTTGGACAGCTAATGGCAGGAAGTCCTTGGGAGAATTACAGAAGGACAGTCCTGGGCTGCCATCCTGCACAGCCCCTTCAGCACCCCACTCCTGCCACAGTTGTGCCTAGCCGTTCCTCCAGACACTGGGCCTCCAGCAGGCACCCACTCACAGGACATGTTTGATGGCTGAGGCAGTCTTAGTAACACGCCCCACTTGAACGATGCTCTGAACTTTGGCAAGGCAGGCCAAAGCGTCGTCACGGCTGTCTCGAAGATTGAACTCAGTCTTGATCACAGCCCCATACTGCACCAGGGCGAAGTTGCACTGTAGAGCAGAGTGAGGTTGAGGGGCTGTCAGACTGCCCCATAGACACCCCTTCCTTAAGAGGGTTGCTCCTGGAGACTCAGGAAGAAAGCGCGCATCCACTCTAATTCAAAGGGAAACCCCCAGTCAGACACAGGTGGAGGAGAGTGATTTCTCCCTGAATCCACGTCCCCATGACAACCCCTCTATATGGACTACAGGATGGGCCACGTGACTTTCTTTGGGTGTGAACATCAGCAAATGCATGTATTGGGGCATTAAGGACTACCACGAATAAGTGGCGCCACCTCAGGCCTCCATCCCTAGTAAAGCAAGAGGTGCCTATAGCTGTGTGGAAGCTCTCGGGAAAACTGACAGAAGAGTCACCCGATGAGCTTGACTCAAATACCTGGAGAGCTATGAGAAAATAAAGGGAGGCTCTTCTGAAGCCATTGCATAGACGTAGATACATGACAGGTAAGAGAACTCAGTCCTCAACGAGGCCCACCTCAAAGCACTTCAAATAGAAGTTCTTTATCATGTTGGAGATGAAGTCTTTAGCCTTTTGGAAGTCTTGGGGTTCAATGCTTCCTGAGCCATCCAGGACAATAGCGATCTCAGTGCCTGGTCAGGATAAAGGGGCAGGTGAGCTATGAGATTCTGGGCAGGAGTAAGCTCCTGAATGGAGCTCTCTCCTTCCTGGCCCCCATCCCCCTGAGACAGGGTTTCTCTGCGTAGCCATGGTTGTCCTGAAACTCTATAGACTAGACTGGCCTTGAACTAACAGAGACCTGTCTGCCTCTGCCTCCTGAGTGCTGGGATTCAAGGTGGGCTATTCTTACCATAAAGGCAAAGAGAGATCTAGAACATGGTTTTGACAACTATGGAAATCACCCCCATTTGGGGGGCCTCAGTTTCCCCACCTCTAAGATGAGTTGGGCCAGTGAGATGGCTCAGCTGGTAGAGGAGCTTGATGCCAACGCTGGTGATCTGAGTTTGATCCCTGAAACTTACATAGAATAGGGAGAGAATTGTCTCCTCCAAGCTGTCTCTAACCTGCACATGTGTGCTGTGGCACAGATGTGTGTTTGGCACATGCATGCACCCACACCCACACACAAACATACAAACAATAAATATTTTTAAAAAGTGAAGAGTCAGAGGTGGACCCTGCCATACCTATAGGACCTGGCCACTTCCCCACCTTCTAGATCTGAACACACCTTGATCCCAGAGGCCCCTGGGATCTTGGGGGTTCATTATGGAGGCCCCCGGTCTGCCTCTTCTCACCAGCTTCCTCCTCGTCCTGCTTGTCCTCTTCTCCCTTCTCCACTGCCCGGCGTCTCCTGGCTGATTTCTTATTCTCCTCTGTACCACCTCCTTTGCTTTTGTAGTAGCCGCCGGAGTCCACACATGCACCTGGACCCAGGAATCCTTCTTTAAGAAACATACAGAGAAGACACAAAAGACGTTAAGAGAGTTCCACGCACTGCTGCCTGCCCTGGAGCCATCATGAACTTTGCCCTGACAAGGACCCTGAGCCTCCTTGTCCTATTCTGAGCCTTAGTGACTGTCTGCTTCTGTTGTGAGCTGGTGTTTCTCCTTGGATCCCTGTATGGTTGTCGAAGGCCAAAGAATTTCCAGTCCTTACCAAGGTCAGAGAAGTAGGCTCGGGCCTGGAGGTCCAAGTTGGGAGTCAGTAGGCTGCAGGCACCTGTGAGCTCTGAGTTAAGGCTTTGGAGCTTCCGGGCTCGTACCTGAATGCATACCTGGGGAGAGGAGAGAAGGGAAGGATCAGGCAGGCTGAGTCAGCTCCACTGTCACCCCCACTCCAGAACACAGTGGCTCAAACTGTCAGAGGACAGAGGCACAGTTGCCTCACTCCTCAGGTCAGGGGTCAGTTGCTAGAGTCAGAAGTGTAGTCAGTGGGTGGCCGGTCAGACTTGGCATCCGTGTTGATGGTCAGACCATAGAGAGATGACAGCGAAGCAATAGGATTGGCCACATCACCATTTACCCACAGGGGCCAACCAACTCCTGCCTCCCCAAGGCTCCCTGTCCTCTTGTCTGTGTACTCACCAAAACACCATGGTGGTTCCGGACCACGGTCACTCCCTGGTACCTGCCCTTTGGCATATAGATGTGCTCTGAAACAGTGACAGCAGGGAAGGGATTCTGGGAGGCAACCACCAAGCCAAGGTCAGAAGCACAGGGCTGCTGACATCAGCAGCCTCTAGAAGCTGGAGCTGGGGGCTCCACAGACCTGAGTAGCTTGGGAATGCCAGGATGCAACCCTTGTCCCAACCCCATTTACCATCTCAACAAAAAACCTGGTATGCAGCCTTGACACCAGGGATGGGAATTCAAAAATGAGTGCCACCTGGCCCGTGCAGGGGTGGGAGTGGAGGGGGCAGGAGGCTGTAGGGGCCTGTGAGGCCTGAGTTGAGGGCATGTGGCTGGCTGCTGGACCTGAACACATATCTAGGGACAGAGATCCATGAAGATTCCCAATGTCAGCCTCCACACGTCTCGCATCCCCACTGACATGTACCACACACAGAGACATGTGAATCTATTAGTTAACATGGTGTCAGGCGCATGTTAGTGAGTGTTGACTCCAGATTGGTCGTTAGGACATATCGGGGGAGGCAGGCTAGGCTAGGTGCGTGGCGTGAGTCTGGGCATTGGGGTTCAAGGCTCACGGGGCAGGGGGCCTAGAGGGCAGGGATGGTCAGCGTGGATAGGCAGGACAGTGATTGCAATGGCTTGGGCTGAGATTAGGTGAGATTCCTAGGGAGGTGTCCCAGGGAGCATGCCGTGGAGGTGGGGTTGGCTTACCTACTGGCTGGCAAGCGATTTCATCTGGAATGGTGGACATGGCACATCGATACAGGGCCGCTGAATTCCTGTTGGAGCTGCGTCTGGCTACCAGGAGGCTGAGTGGGTGGGCAGACAGCAAGGACAAGCTGGCTGAGGGCTCCTTTCCCCTCCCTGCCTGCCCAGGTCCAGTCCTCCTCTCCCTGCCTGAGGAGGAAGCCCAGACCTGGGAAAGACAGACAACTCTCTATCCCAGGCCTGCAGACTCAGCATTACAGAGAAGGCACTTAGTCAGCCTCTGCTTCTCCATGGCTCCGGGCAGGGAAGCAGTTAAATGTAATCCCTGTCTGCCCCACACTCCTACAGAAGCTAGGAGCACTTCTGGTGATCAGAAAGACGCCTTTCCTGTGGGATGGACCGGGAAAGTCACCGGCCACACTGCTGCTCCCCTGAGGGGCAAAGCTGGCTGGAGCATTTGACCCATCTGGCCTTAGAACTAGAGGTTTGGTGAACCTCACGAAGACAGCCTGAGGAGAGGTCAGTCTTGCTGCAAAGCTCTTGTCCCCAACCCAAGTCCAGAAAACTGGTGAAGAGGACAGTGTGAACTTAAACATTCTCACTGCTCCTTGGGGCCTGGGGCTTGGCTGGCCTGAGGCATAGAGTGGCTGAGCACCTCTAGCTAGTGTGATAAGCAGAGTGGTAGTGAGGAGGATCTGAAGATTGGCTTGGTAATAGTGAGCCAAGTCCAAGGTCTTTGTGGTGACAGGAAGCTATGGAGGCTTTGTAAAGGGGAAGCACAAGGTTAGTTCTGTGCTTTTGAAAGGTCGTGATGTGGTTGTCGGGGGTTAGAGGACAAGTTAGCATAGCAAGAGGGACAGACAGGAGGAGGGACAGACACGGTGCATTGTCTCTATTACCTCAATTCTTACTACTAAATTTTCTTTTGTCAAGACAGGGTCTCTCTGTGTGGCCCTGGATGTCCTAAACTCTGTAGACCAGGCTGGCCTCAAACTCAGAGATCCACCTGCCTCAAGCTCCTGAGTGCTGGGATTAAAAGGGTGCATCACCACACCCAGTTTAGAATAAGGACAAGACATTTTTCTTTCTTTTTTCTTTTAGGTGGTGCAGAGGATTGAACCCAAGGCTGGGCAAATGCTCTGCCACTGACCCCCCCCCCCCAACCCCTCTTTGTTTTGTTGTTACTGTTTTGGTTTGGTTTGGTTTTTGTTGAGAAGGGTTTCTCAAAACTAACTTTCTCAAAAGTTAGTTTTGGCTGTCCTGGAACTCACTCTGTAGACCAGGCTGGCCTCAAACTCACACAGATCTGCTGCCTCTGCCTCCTGAGTGCTGGGATTAAAGGCGTGGTCTTTGGTTTTTGTTTTTGTTTTTTTTTTTTTAACCCCTCATCATAGCCCATAGGCCAGGCAGGATTTGACTGCATCTCTACTTCTCCAGCTGCGCTGCTCACTCAGAGGAAGACCTGCAGATGTGTGCTCTGAGCCTTTAACAGCTTTAGGTCCCGGTCCTTTCCTGCATTAGGCCCTCTGGCTGGCTGTCTTTCTGCCTGGAAGCCTGGTCTCACACTCCCTGAGAGTGGCTCATCCCCATCCCTGTACCCTGCTCCCCACGGTCGGTGTGCTCACCACCATGCTCCTTCCCGGACCACCTGAAGCCATGAGTTCCCACCTTGGCTACGAGTTCTCAAGAGACCCCATGTGCCACCACAGAGGCCACACACCGCAGACCCCAAGATGGCCACCCATAGTTCAAGTCTGTAATTCTGTGGACAAAGGCCCTCTATGCTGCTCCCATCCCCTTTACAGCCAGCAGCCTTCAGGTTAGTTCACTCACTGACTAGCAAATCAGCTAAATACAGACTGACAGACCAGCTATGACAGAGGCTACCATGTGCTGACAGCCCAGGTTCCTTGTATCCTGGACTGGGCGCAGGATATCTCATCTAACTCCTGCCTTCTCCTACCTGGCAGTCCTCCATACTTCAGAAAGTATGAGAGTTAAGAGGGGTCTATCACCCTCACCCTGGAGGTGGGAATGAATAAAAACCTGTTCCTCTCTATGGTGAGCTGGCCCAGCCAATGGGTGTGTTTCCTGGCTCCCTGCCGCAGGCTCGGAAACCCAGAGCTGTCTCCACCACATCCTCCTGCTGATTCCGCAAACCTCTGAGCTCCTCCACCTTAGCAGCTGTGCAGGGTGCTCACAAGCCCCATGAGGCTCCCAGCACTCTCTTCATGAGGGCTCTAAACACAAATACTCCCTCCCCATCTGCCTTGGCCTTGGGTCTCTAAGAAATGGGGCACTGTGAGCCTCGGACTGGTAAGACACACACTGGGGCAGTGGTGAAGCAGGGGTCGAAGATGGAGAAGCAGGAGGTGGCCACAGATGACTAAAGGTCATTTACATGGCATAAACAGTTTGGAAAACAAAATGCAAACTCAACCTCCCTTTATAGACCTGATCAAATAAGGGCAGCTGGCTGTAGAATAGATGTGCCAGGGAGATTGCCCACAAGGCTCACCATCAGCGCTGCTCACGCATGCAGAACCCCAGCCTCAGACCGTACACTAACGCTGTGAGGGCTGCAGGATGGAGTGGGCTCTGTTTGTCTCATTTACATCAAGTTAAAAACCAGGCAAAAGGTGACTTTCGGTGGGGAGGTACAGATGTGGGGAGGTACGTGGGTGGGGCTCCTGGGAGACTTTCCGGGTGCTTTTGTTGGTTGGTTTGTTGTTTGTTTTGTTGGTTGCTTTTTTTTAGATGTGGTCCTCTGTGTAGTCCTGACTGTCCTGGTACTCCCGGTGTAGAACAGGCTGGCCTCAGGCTCACAGAGGTGCCCTGCCTCTGCCTCTAGAGTGCTGGGATTGAAGGTGTGGCTGTGTTCTTATCCAGATGGTTTGTTTTATGAACATACATTGAGCAGCACATTTGTTATGTGATTTATGTCAATACAAAATTACCAAAACAAAACACAAAAAAATGTCAATATTTTGTCTTTTGAGACAGAATTCCACCATGCAATTCTAGCTGGCCTGGAACTTGCTCTGTAGACCAGGCTGGCCTTGTGCTCACAGAGTTCTGCCTGCCTCTACTTCCCAAGTGCTGGGATTAAAGGCATATGCCACCACGTCTGGCTAAAACATTAACTTCCGATTTATCTTCCTGATGCCAAAATCTTTTCAAAACATTCTCACTGTCCATGCTTCAAACCCTTCTGACTCTTCAGAGACTCCTTGTGGTGGTGAGGTGCAACCTGCCTCTGCCAACTTAATCTTCATGGTGCTCAGTCTCAGCCGGGGGCATTTCTTAGCCATCACCCAGGCTTTAGCCAAGCTCCTCTCTCTGCCTGGACTCCCTTCTCTCAACCCTCCTCATGCTAACTTTCATGCCCCCCACCCCACGTCCTGTCACAGACGCTTGAAGTTGGCCTTAGTTCATATTCCTGGAAGTACCAGAGGCTCCCACCATAGCTGTTAACATTCTTTTCACTGTGAGACTTTCCGAGTCCTTCATGAGCCCAGTGGCTCCTCAAGGACAGGAGCCATATATTCACTCCATTTGGGTGGGAGAAGCACAGGGTCTCACTATGTAGCCCTGGCTGGCCTGAAATGCACTATGTAGACCAGGCTGGCCTCAAACTCACAGAGCTCTGCCTGTTTCTACTTGAGTGCTTGGATTCAAGGTGTGTGTTCCACCCCTGGCCTCCTCCTATGCTTTAAACCAGTATTTCTTTCTGGCATTGAACAGATGCTTTATAAATACTTATTGAATAAATGAATTGAATCTGCCCTTACCACTCAAGTCTACTGATGAACTCCACTCAGCAAATGGAGATTTTATGACTTACAAACGATTCATGTCAATAGATACCTGCTATTTTCAATTTTAATATTGATATTTCAATTAAGAGTGCATAGCTATAAGCAAATAAATAATAAGCAAATACCTTAAAAATAATTTAGAGGGGTGGTACACAGCTTATCCCAACACTATTAAGGAGAGAGTGTTTGCTTAGCATGCAGGGTTCAAGCCCCAGAACATGAAAAGAGAAGACAAAGCAAAGAAAAAGAAGAAGAACAAGAACAAGAAGAAGAACACCTAGGTTAAACCAACTCAACTGTAAAAGCCACACTGGTGACAACAGGAAATCAGAAAGGGCCACAGACACACCGAGTTCACCTCTGTCTAGATCTGCTCCTGCCCCAGTGCTGTGCATAATAACCCCTTATCTATAGAAGATAAATTTGACCTGTTTTGGCCCTGTCCAACATGGAGGCTACCCGAACCAAAGTGTTTGTTGGGGGAGCGGGGGGGGGAGGGTCAGGTGCTCTGTCTGCTTTGCTCACTGTTCCATTCCCATTGCCTGACAACGCACACAGCAGGAGCTCCACCAGAACTTGGAGTAAACAATGACTTACATTCTCATTTCACATTTTCAGGCTGAACCTACGCTAACTCCGCCCACTGATTTGAACTGCTTTTGATTTCATGCAATGACACCTTATTTCAATTTTCTGGCCTTCCATGTTACACACACTGCCACTGTCAATATCTTCATATTAGGTCCAGAAACAAAGCTCACTAACAGAGTGTGCTTAGCATTCTTAAGGCCTTGGGTTCATCACACACACACACACACATACACAAACACACACACACACACACACACACACACATCAAAATATGCCTGGGGCAGGGGTCCCTGGATAGAGTGTGTGTTTAGAATGTGTAAGATTCCAAGCACCACATTTGTTTGTTCTTTTGCATGGGCCTGCACATCTCTCTAGAGCTGGTACCGGGGGTGCAGCAGCTGAGCCAAAGGCCCCTGTGCATCGGTGGCCCACCAGACATGGCCACACTGCTCTCCAAGTCAACGATGCCGACACACTCCCAAGTGTGCCCGTCTCACCACTTCCTCACCAGCGCAGTGCTCTTAGACCTGACAGCTCGCTTAGCCACAGCAAATACAGATACGATTTTAAGATATAAGGCAATGCTTATCACAGCTCACTTTGGCCAGAACCCATGTAAAGAAAACCCTTTGGCTCCATTTCCTCAAACAGTCCCACAGCAATCCTGTGAAATCCAGAAATCATCAGTCAGAGGGGAGGAACTGAGGCTCAGGGCTCAGCACCTCATTAAGATTGCTCAGTGAATACAGCAAGGTACCTCTGAGCCAGGACCCCCAAAACAATGCACCCTTAACTTCAATGGCTGAGCCCTTTTTCAGTATTTATTTATTTGCTGTCACTCTCCGACTTTCCTATGTTGAGAACATGTAGCTTTTATAAGTCAGAAAAGCCCCTTGGTGATTAAGATTCCCTTCCCTGAACACCAGTGTAAGGAATGGAACTGAGCGAGCAGAAGGCAGGAGCTCTGAGCTCCATAGGCTGGTCTGGGGAACACAGACACCACCCTTCTCTCTTTGGCTGTGTGTCATTCATCAAGTGAAGTGGGTGCTGCCCAGGGCATGGGGTGGGATATCACAGCCTTTTCTGGGATGTACCTCAGGCATCTTCGGGGCCACCCTAGTCCTCACGTCCACTCACCAGGTCTGGTTGGTGCTGGGGTCTTGATGTAGAAGGGAGCTGAGCACAGAAGGTGCACCTGGCTTAAGCTCTGTGACCCAGGGCCAGGCCACATCCACATTGAAGGCTCCCAGGGGCATCAGGCCTGTGGACAAAAGAGAAACATCCAGTGAAAGAGGCGCACTGGTGAGGCTGCCCTGTGCTGCCATCAATCCAGCAGATCTGCCACATCATCATCTCACCGCAAAGACGAGAAAAGGGCCCACCTCCGTGGACACCTTTCCCACAAGAGAAGGAGTGGACGCGGGTGTGTCTGATCCGGGCTGCTGGTCTCTCTCCTCAACCATGATGCTTCGGTCCCAGGGAGGGGACCCTCTGAGGAGCGAGCACTGTCCATCCAGTTACACTTCCCACTCTCACAACAGTCACATGGCTCAGGCTGTGTCTTGTACCAAACTTAACAGAGATCCAGAGCCCCCAGAGAAGATAGTTATGCTCCTTAACAGCCCTAAACTGAATCAAGCCAAATGGCATCTTGGGAGAGCAGATGAAGTACCTGTGTTCACACACTGGAATGCTACTAACCGGTGTGGTGTGTGTGTGTGTGTGTGTGTGTGTGTGTGTGTGTGTGTGTGTGTGTGTGAAAAGAATGAACGGAGGCACACAGCAACACCAGAGTGTGGCTCTCAACTCAGCACACCCACTGAAAGAAACTTAAAGACCTGGAAAGAACTACAAACAGCTCGGTGTGGTGATGCACACCTTGAACCAAGCACTAGGGAGGCAGAGACAAATGGATTGCTATGAGTTCAAGGCCAGCCTGCTCTACATAGTGAGACCTGTATGAAAAAGGGCCAGGAACAGTGTTGCACACTTTTAATCCTAGTGCTTGAGAGCAGAGGCAGCTGGATAGCTGAGGTCAAAGCCAGCCTGGTCCACAGAGCAAGAGCAAGTTCCAGGACAGGCAGGGCTACACAGAGAAATCCAGTCTGGAAAAACCAAAAAGAAAATTTGAACTCTAGGCCATATGTAAGAACTCAGGGTCTCTCATACATGCTAAGATGGGTAGATACATACAAAGAAGCAAATGGAAAAATATCAGAACTGTAAAATATAACTGCCCAATATTTTAAGTTTTTCTTTTTTTTTTTTTGAGACAGAGTTTCTCTCTGTAGCCGTGGCTATCCGGGGCTCACTTTATAGACCAGGCTGGCCTCCAGCTCACAGAAATTTACCTGCCTCCTGCTTAGTTTTTCAAAATTTTACCAAAATTTGTGAAGACAAGGCAAACATGATGGTCCACTTCTGTAATCCTAGCACTCAGAGGCTCTGTGAATTTGAGACCAGCTTGGTCTACAGAGTGAGTTCCAGGACAGCCAGGGCTACCTAGTGAGACTATGTCTCAAAAAACAGATAGATAGATAGATAGATAGATAGATAGATAGATAGATAGATAGATAGAGGAACAAATTGATATTGACTCATTCCTCCATAAGGCCATCCTATCCTAATTCATACTCCAATAACAGGAGAAATTTATTTCCCACACTGTTTTCTGTCTTGTTTGAAAAACATATCCCGGGACTGGTAATATGGCTCAGAGGGTAAGAGCACTGTCTGCTCTTCCAGAGGTCCTGAGTTCAATTACCAGCAACCAGATGGTGGCTCATAACCATCTATATTGGGATCTGATGCCCTCTTCTGTGTGCAGGTGTACGTGCAGATAGAGCACTCATATACATAAAATAAATAAATTTTCTTTTTTTTAAAAAAAAAGAAAAACATATTCCATCATCCTGTTCCATAACTAGGGATGAATTTCAGTGGTAGAACATTTGTCTAGCATGTGTGAGGCCCTGAATCAATTCCCAACACCACAAAAGTAAAATTAAATTAAACACTTGGCTTTTGTTAATTAACATATTTTGCTATCAGAAAAAAATTATCTGGGTATCCTGAATTTGATAAAAATATATATGATATGCTAAAGTTAATGGGTGAATAATCTTCCAATTAATACATTTTTATTTTAGTAGTGATTTTAAGAACAAATTAAAATAATTATGCAAGGGTAGATTTATAAACTATGCTATCTTGGGTAAAAGGAATGGAAACACATATATGTATGTAATTCTGTTTTTCTTCAGTAGGAAGATACAGCAATTCTCTTTCTTTTTTGTTTTTTATTTTTATTTATTTATTTATTTTTGTTTTGTTTTGTTTTTTGAGACAAGGTTTCTCTGTGTAGCCTTGGCTGTCCTGGATTCACAGAGATCTGACTGCCTCCGCAATTCTTAATATGTCTGAATCCAATCATATAACTTCAAAATCCAAAAGGCAAAAGCCTGACTGAATTTAAAACATTACAGATGTTGCTAAGTGGTGGTGGTGCATGCCTTGATCCCAGAAATCTGGAGAGAGGCAGGAGGCTCTCTGAGTCCAAGGCCAGCCTGGTCTACAAAGAGAGTCCCAGGACAGCCAGGGCCACCCAGAGAAACCCTGTCTGAAACCTCTCTCCCCATCACCCCCCCAAAAAAAGAAAAAGAAAAGAATTTGTCTCAGAACCAATTATGATACCCTCTTTTTACTCATACTAATGACTGGCTATAGGGTTTTCAGCTCATTAAGTTAGTGTCCATATTTTTTCTTTTTTTCTTTGTATTTTTATATTTACAAGATTTTGCCTCACTCAGGCTGGCCTCACACTCAGTCACTCAGCTGAGGACAACTTTGACTTCCTAACGCATTTTCTCCACCTTCTGGTTGCTGGTATCACAGTCATACACCACCAGGTCTGGTTTTATCAATCATTTATTAAAAATAAACTTTAGCTCTGTTAATTTTCTCTATAGCAAGTCCATTTTCTACTTCATTAATATTTGCTTATATTTATATTCCTTCCTGTACTGTATTTGGGTTTAATTTGCTATTCTTTTAGCTTATTGAAATAGAGCCTTCCAGGCTGGAGAGATAGCATGGTGGTTAACTGGCTGTTCTTCCAGAGGACCCAGGTTCGATTCCCAGGTCCCACCTGGTGGTTAATGACCATCTGTAACTCCAGTTCCAGAGAACTTTTGGCCTTTTGGCCTCCATGGGCACCAGGCATGAAAGTGGTTTACAAATATTTATGCAGGCAAATCAGGCAAATTACGTATACACATAAAAAAGTGTGTGTGTCCAAGAGTCTCCATCGTATTTCTCTGGAAATTGACATCTGTAGTGGGGTGGGGGATATGGAACTGTGAGCACACGTTTTTGTTTTTGGTGGGCTTTCATGAAGCCCTTGCACTCCTAACGTAGCTGAAGATGGCGCTGAACTGGCTCTCCAGTCCTCAACTTGCCTATATGACAGGCCTGGGCCGCCCTACCCAGCCCCCTTGAACATGTGTGTAAGGCTGCGAAGTCCCTGTAACTGCCGCTTCTGCTGTGGTCTGCAGGTCCTCATTTCCCATATCTTAATCTAAGCTCAGCATTTTCTTTGTGATGTCCTCTGACTCTTTGGGTTATAACCAGTTTAGTCTCCATCTGAATTGCAGTTCTCAGAGGACGTGTTGGGTGGAGTGGTTAAGATAGAATAATTTATACTGTAAAATTTTATAGTGATAAAGTATTAATTGACAAAACAGGGTAAAATGTAATATTTTGTTGGTAAGTAAAAATATTAGTTCATTAACATGTGACTAAACCTGGATAATGTTTTTAACATTAGATGATTTGGTTTTAAGGTTGATTGCATGTTTATGTACTTTGGCCATTTATATATTAAAATTTTTATTTTAATATGCAATAAAAGTAAAAAGTAAAGTAGAAAGTACTTTACTACAAAAGTAAAAAGAGGAAATTTTTTTAAATAAGTGCACTGTTCACGTTCTAAGAAGCAGAGTTTTTCTATTTTTTTGTTACTGATCTTAATTCTCTCATAATCCCAGAACATATCCTGAATTGTCTCTATCAGTAGAAGGCTGCTTTGTGACTCAGCATCAAGTGTCTATCTTCCTTGACTGCTCACCACCTTAAATGTTGAGGCAGGGTCTCTTGGTGAACCCACAGCCACGTTAGCTGCCTCCCAGTGGAGATTACAGGAGGCCACCACACCCACTTGAATCCACGTGGGCCTGGGGATCTAAAGTCCAGGCCTCGCACTAGCACGGCAAATACCTTGGTCATGGAGCTGTCTGTCTCCTGGTTTTTGCTTTTTTCTTTTGTTTTTTGTTTGTCTGTCTGTCTGTTTGAGACAGGGTTTCTCTATGTAGTCCCAGTTGTCCTGGACCTCACTATGTAGAGCAGGCTGGCCTCTGTCTCCAAAGCGCCAGGATTACAGGCTTGGACTACCATGTCCGCCATACCTTAGGACCCTCAATCACACACTCTAAATCAAGAGGACAGGGAAGGACCCAAGAGCCTAACATTATGAATGTGGCTGCAGCTGCCAGGTCCTCAGACCCCATTTTGAAGATTTAAAATATTTTGGTAAAGAGGGAGAATGAAAGAGATGTAGCCAGTGTGTGGAAATCCTGGCAGCTATGTCACGCTTGTAATAAACACAGGAGCTTGCTACCATTATCCTGTGCACCTTTAGACAGGCTTCAAATCTTGTCATGAAAACCCTTCCACTGGTTCGAATCCCAGTCCTTCTGCCTGAGCCTGTGACAGGAGGATCTAACAAAAACCAAAAAACAAATTCAGTTTACCATATATTTTTCCTATACTAAACACTCCCGTGGCCTCATCTACATTTTTTTACTGATGCATGTGTGTGTTCTATGTGCATGCTCACGTGGGTATGTGTGCCACTGTGTACGGAATCCAGAGACTGACGTCAGGCGTCGGTCTCTTCCTCTACCACCAGCCCCCACCTTGTTTTTGAGAACCTGGTGCTCATCCATTGGCTAGACCGGTTGGACTGGGATCTCTGAGGACCCCATCTGACTGCACCTCCAACTGCAGTTCTGGAGTCACAGAAACATGGCTCTATTCCCAGCTTTTATGTGGGTGCTGGGGGATCTGAATTGAAGTTTTCATGCTTAGAGGCGGAGGCAGGTGGATCTCTGTGGGCTCAGGCCACCCTGGTCTACACAGTGAGTTTCAGTCCAGCCAGGGCTACATAGCGAGACCCTGTCTAAAGCAAACAAACAAGCAAACAAA